TACCTGCTTAGTCGTTTCTACATGTTTTTTTATTATTATTCTGTCATTTGTGAATCGGCCATTAGTAATTCTTTCCACATTGTCTGGTAGGTTATGTTTTTCTTTGTTCATTACAAAATGCGTCTGATTTCACATACTGATTTTAAAATGTGCATTGTGTCTTAAACATGCATTATGCAAGAGCTAAATCTGCCTATCGCAGGTCTTTCTTTCGGCCTGAAATCTTATCTAAATTATTAATTAGACATTAATTAACTTATCCAGACCATAATCAACTCTCGATGTCAAGGCTAGCCTTCGATATCGATTGGATTAGAATCCTATATGCTGCTAAAGCTCCTTGATAATTAAATCAAAACAATGGATAATCGAGACTATGCATTTTAACGTACTAACTTTAGTAATGATGAACAAGGCTATGCGCAAATTTCCAAAGCTGATATCTCGGTTCATAGTGGATCAATTTGACTGAAATTTTCAACAAATTACCTTTACATTATCTAGTTTTTAACTATTATAGCGAGAACTGTCAGCTCTTTATCTTATCTCCCATAATGTATCTTTAAATATTGGATATTAAAATCAAATATTTTCACAGCAAGGTGCGTTGGATCATAAGGTTGTCTTTGAGTCAAGCAGCATGGTTGTGATCCCTGCTTGTACGTGACAAAGGAGTAAGGTCAATCTGTCCAACCTCATGGGTTTTCCCCAGGATTTTCGGATTACTCCAACAGCTAAAGACCCCTACACACAAGCGAATTATTGATATAAAATTGAACCATGTGTTAGTTTGTGTTGAGCAGACGTTAAACCCCATTTCTCTCCCTCTCTCCCTTTTAAATAAAAATTGTGTTATTTTGTTTTTTCAATCTCTATATATTTATATTTATATAAAAATGCATCCATCAGCTTTGTACATCTCATGAATTTGTATTATTTAAACAGATGATGTCAGTGATATCAAATTTTAAAAATTGTTCTGTTTTTTTGTTTTTGATTATGAATTATATTCATGTCTTAGTAATGTATCGATTACACATAATTTTTATAAATTTTTTTTTTATTATTTTTGATTCGTTTCCGGATAGAGACGTCGTCCATCATTCTGAGGACCCATGTATACATTGTCGTGCACGTAAAAGATCCCTTGGCAGTTGGAATTCGATATATCAGTAGGCTGTAGTGCCGGTGTCTCGGCAAAATGTTCCCTCATAGCACACTGTATGGCATATGCCCGTCTTCATTAGCCCAGTATGAGCAGAACTGTAGGATGTTAAACCCCATTTCATTTTACTTCAGCATGCGTTTTCGGAGAACGGCCCTTATTCACATTTGATTTTAGAATAAGTTATATAAAAATTGGGGGGGGGGGGGTTGGCCGAATGGTTAGCACGTGCGCGCTGTATCATAAGGCCTGTCATTGAGTCAACTGGCTTGGTTTCGAATTCCTAGTTGTACGTGACAAGGAGTAGGGTCGCCAGTCCAACCTTGTGGGTTTTCTCCGGGTCCTCTGGTTTCCTCCCACTGCTAAAGACCCCTACGCGCAAGTGAATTATTGAAATAAAATTAAACTATATATTAGTCCCAAAATGACCTAGTTTGTGTTGAGTGGGTGTTAAACCCCATTTCTCTCTCTATATAAAAATTAAAGTAGATATTTCTCTGTTTTATTAAGAGCTGAAGTTACCCTGGGAAAAATCCTAAAAAAGAAAACTTGGAGGTAGGTTCATTTATTTTTTACATAAATCCTTAACAACACCGTGTTTCAGAAAATAAAATCGACCAAAAAACAATTTTATGGTGTGTCCTTTATTTGCCGAAAGCTGATTGGAATACAAGTCAGAAATTAGAAATCACCGTCCAGTCCTGTAAATTGCTTCAAAAATTGGAACCATGAAATTTTACACAAAAAAACGAACAAATATGTTGAATCTCTTTTTTTCATCAATTAAATTCTTTTCTGGTATGCCGTTGAGTTTTGTTATGTGTCTGATAGGTTTACATTCATTTGAAAATTACTTCACAGCCATATTTCACTAGCCAGGAGGTCCGGTTCCATCCTGGCATTCCCCGATAATGTTCCTCAAGATTTTTTCAGAATGGTTTTCCCATGTCAACAGGGGGCCTGACAAGCAGCCTGGTAGTCATTTTGATGGTGGGTCTCCTGTCTAACCTCATGGGTTTTCTCTGGGATTCCCTGTTTGTACATGACAAGGAGTAGGGTTGACTGTCCAACCTTATGGGTTTTTTCCAGGTCCTCCGGTTTCCTCCCACTGCTAAAGACCCCTACGTGCAAGCAAGTTATTGAAATAAAATTGAACCATATGTTAGTCCCAAAATGACCTAGTTTGTGTTGAGTGGAGTTAAACCCCATCTCTCTCTGTCTCTCTCTCACTCTCTGTCTCTCTCTCCCCATTTTGATGGGACCCTTTAGTAAGAGCAAAATTTCGTAGGCTTGTCTTCAGTGACCCAGTTGGCGCAGAAGAATATGGGGTTAAATCCTATTTAATTTCACAAATGTACATTTATTTATTTATTTATTTATACCTTTTTGTTAAAAAGTCCAATATTCCTAATTTTTTAAACAGTTGAAAAGGTCAGACAAGAAATCAATTGTCGCCATTGTATCCCAATCATCTAGTCGTTCTATTTCTGACTTATGTCTTCTGGTGCGTTTAGGCAGATCAATTTCATCTTGACCTACAGATTTAAATCTGTAGTTTCACTATGTTCTAATTATTTCATCATTTTTTTTTTCTTTCTTTTAGACGCTCGAGTTATATTATATCCTCAAAGCTGTATTGGGGTGGCAAGTAAGTCCAATTATTGTTATGTCAAATTTTCACGGAAATCGCTTCCATTATTCGTTGAGATCAAAATATTTTGTCAGAGAAGTATTATCTAAATTTGAGCTAGTGAGTCTAATGGGTTCCCCTTTTCATTGGCAAGGACCAGTTTCTAGTTATTTAGATGGGATGAAAAACCAAGGTCCAGTGTACTTGTTGGCGTGCACGTAAAAGAACCCTTAACAGTCGGAATATGAAATACGATTATGCTGTACCATCACTGTCTGGGCAAAATTTTCCTCATAGTTCACTGTATGGTGTAAGCTCGTCTTCACTTCCACGAGTTTATAGGGATTTTCCAGCATGGTTTCGCCTTGAGGCCTGACAAGGACAGCTGTCTAGTCATTCGGATGGGACCAAAAACTGAGGTCACGTGTACACATAAAATATCCCGTGACAGTTGGAATTCGATATAAGAGTACGCCATAGGGTCGCTGTCCGGACAAAATTTCGCTCACAGCACACTGTATGACATGTGCCCGTCTTCATAAGCCCAGTTTGGAGCAGAACAGTAGGACGTTAAACCCCATTTCATTTCATTTCATTTCACTACCTCTGTCGTTGCATACAATTAGTATGTTAAACCCCTTTTCATTTCATTCATTTTATTTCTAATTATTTTGTCAAGTTTTCAAGAACATCTCATACCACATATCATATTCTCACATTAAATGGAGCTGTTATAAAGAGTAGGGTTAGGATTGGGTTACCGAGTAATCTCGCATATGTTTGTCGATTTGTGAGTTTTCTTAAGGTACTTTGGTTCCTACCCATTTCTAAAGATCCTCTTCCTCGTGCGCAAGTAAATTATTGGAAAAAATATAGCCTAATCTCTTTCTATCTTTTTGGTATGAATCTGCACCTCCTGACTCCACAAACTTTTGATTTCAGGAGATATTTCTGATTTCACCCAATTCTTACTTTTCAGGGCTGAGACAGAAAAGGGGCTATCGAGAAAACACATAGTAGAAGGTAGGATAATATAGGGCTGTTACTTCAAAAATTTTCAAGACGGTCAAGTTTTCACATATTTTGTTTACTTCCTAACAAGATATTTTTTCCAAAGAATATGCAAAGTTTAGAATCATTCTAATTTTTAGCATTCCCTTTTTTCAATTTATTTATTTAAGTAACTCTTGCAATCAGCTATCTACATTCTAAGTAATTCTTGTATTTAGTTATCAACATTGTAAGTAACTCATGCATATAGTTATCTACATTAAAAGTAACTCATGCATTTAGTTATCTACATTATAAGTAACTCATTCATTTAGTTATCTACACATAAAAGTAACTCATTCATTTAGTTATCTACATTGTAAGTAACTCATGCATATAGTTATCTATATTATAAGTAACTCATTCATTTAGTTATCTACATTGTAAGTAACTCATGCATATAGTTATCTATATTATAAGTAACCCATGCATATAGTTATCTATATTATTAGTAACTCATGCAATTAGTTATCTACATTATAAGTAACTCATGCATATAGTTATCTACATTAAAAGTAACTCATTCATTTAGTTATCTACATTACAAGTAACTCATGCATTTAGTTATCTACATTAAAAGTAACTCATTCATATAGTTATCTATATTATCAGTAACTCATACATTTAGTTATCTACATTAAAAGTAACTCATTCATATAGTTATCTATATTATCAGTAACTCATACATTTAGTTATCTACATTATAAGTAACTCATACATTTAGTTATCTACATTATAAGTAACTCATACATATAGTTATCTACATTATAAGTATCTCGTTCATTTATAATTAGATATCTACATTATAAGCAGTGATGGGATTTTGCCCGTATATTCCGGACTTGTCCGAATCTTTTTTCCAAACGCCCAAAATTGTCCGACCGGGAATATGCCCAATCGGACATCAAGACATGGTGAATAATATTAAAAATTCCGAAATTAATATAGTTTACTGAGTGTATAACTACCACTCAACGCTGGGTTTATTAGGTATTTAAGTGATAAACGTATTTATCGTGTTATACCGTCTATAGTATAAACCTACCTTGATTTAACTACTTAATCTGCCTTGATTGACTGACTTAATCCTTTGTCGGACAATTCATCAATCTAATCTTAAACAGAAGTCATTGCTTTCCTTTTGTCGGACTATTCATCAATTCAATAAGAATGATTATAATTTTAATCCACCTCATTTGTCGGGCATCTTAATCGCATTGATGTGAGCCGACATCATCTATAATAAACTAATCATAGATGTCACATATCGTAAGAGTAAATAACACCCTAAATCAATGGACAGTCATTTTGTCTACGATATCTTTTACGTCTTTTAAGAATCTATATAGAAATTCTCATCCACGGTGGCACTTTCCCTTGATCTCGAGCGCGGCACGAATATTGCTTAACATATTATTAGGCAGTGCTTACTATGAAGCCATGTGATGAGTCACGTAGGCTATTAGTCTCTATTATCCAGAAAAATATTCTACGAATATGTTGAAAACTAGGAGTTTCTGGGTGACCGAGACTAGTACGCACCCAGCAAAATAACAAAAAGGGGAGGGGCTACCAATAGCTATATGAGCAGAAATTCTAACGTATTTGTAGGCGTCAATCATTCTGCAGTGTTGCCTGTCACTCTGTCATGACTATGAAAGAGTGTTATTCGCTGAAGTTAGCTATGCCTGTTTACAAGTGATTTAACTATTTCGGAAGTTCTGCATTCATTTGCTGCCGTATAAACGAAGACACGTAATTCTAAAGGAATATTATGGTTGTGAATTTGATGCCGAAGCAGGATCGGCAAGCTTTCATTCAACATATCACGAAAATGCTTAATTTTGTAGGACATTTACTGACATAAATTTGAATGCCGTATGGGAATTAAGTGTGAAAAATAGCGAGGTCACCAATTTTTATTACGTACGGGATTTGAATATTTTGTTGACATGTGGTTTTTAATTGTGGTATGAATTGAATACTGTACGGGAATTAAATATGAAAAATAGCGAGGTTCACCTATTTTTATTATGTACGGGATTTGAATATTTTGACATGTGACTTTTAATTGTGGTACGAATTCGTCTGCTTAAATAACGATAAGAGTTATGCCCCTTTATTTTCGGCAAAATGTCCGACAAGTAAATTTTGAAATCCCCTCACTGATTATAAGTAACTCATGCAATTAGTTTTCTACATTATAAGTAATTCTTATGCACTTTTTACTCTGTTGTTGTTTTTTTTTTTTGAATACACAGGAAACAATTCTATGGAACACAATAACTCAATCTGTTTATATCTTAGTGACATTTTGACCAACAAAGACTAGAGAAGCCTAGTTGAAATATGGTAATTGTATTCCATATAATGGTGGTCCTGTGTAGGTATTACCAGTTGTAATATCATTCAGATTGTTTTATTTATTGAGATAATCATCCATTACTCTTCTACTTAGTCATTCAAAATCATCCATAATCACTTCCTTTTTGTTTTCCAATGTTAGATAATAACCCTCATTTGTGCTTCCGTTCTTAGAAAATCAGAATTCAGAGAGCTTTTGTTGTACACTGCAAATCTTGCATTAACCAAATATCTATTTTAAAAAAAAGGCCATTCTTATAAGTTTTCAGGATACCAAATTTTTCTTAACTACCTTTTAGTACTATGTTATAGTTTTCTTTTTAGTTTTTGTTAATTGTATGCTGCAAATCTTGCATTTGAGAAATATTTTTAAAAATCAATTCTTCTTTGGGTTGATAACACATAGTTTTTCTTTACTACCTTTAACTATGTCCATGGAATATGTTTCTGGTTAGGGTTTGTAGTACACTCCAAATATTCCATTAAACAACTATTTTAAGAGACATTAAGATTTGGTCATATATTGTCGTTGCCCTGTCAGTCTGGGGTCCACAATTGCATATATAATTAATATATAATTGACTTTAAATTTATACACGATGTTTAAGATTAAGAAGCCTATTGATTTTCAACAATTTCCGATACCCGGGTTACAGTGTCTAGAAGCGAATATCTGATTGACGTTAAATTTATACACAGTGTTTACGGTCATGAGCTGAAGAAGCCTATTGATTTTCAATGATTTCTGATAATTACTGCCAGAGTTATGGCCCTTGATCCCTATTAAATATCTTATGGAGGTTCTAGACACTATAGAGTTAATATCCAATTGACTTGAAATTGATACACAGTGTTTAAGGTCAGGAGACGAAAAAGCTTGTTGAATTTCAACGATTTCTGATAATTACTGCCTGATTTCCGATAATTACTGCCATAGTTATGGCCCTTGATCACTGTAAAAAAATCTTGTGGACACTAAAGTTCACATCCAATTGACTTTATATTTAATACAGTGTTGAAGGTCATGAGACGAAGAAACCTATATTGATCAATTTTCAACTATTTCCAATGATTATGGCAATTGATATTAAATGTTTTGTATGCTAAATGTTAGAATAGGGCAGAACTAGAAACCAAATGGGTTGTTACTTGTAGTGTGTTGTAAATGTTTTCATTTCTAACAAAAGAAAAAAAAATGCGACAACACTTGTTGACTCCCCGGACGACTTAGCTGCAGTGGGCGTATGTTTCGGTGTCTGGCAACCTATCTTTATTGACTGTATATAAAGTGTTCTTAAAATGATTTTACATACCCTAACTCACTTTAACAAATGGTATAATGTTTCTTGCCAGGGTAACATTGTTAAGAGTTCAGACATTATCTTTTTTATTTGCTAGGTATACGAGGCTCGTTAGAAAGACTACAGTTGGAATATGTTGATGTTGTTTTTGCAAATAAAACTGATTCGCACACACCAATGGAGGGTAGGTGACCTGATCTCTTGAATTTCGGATGAATGATGAATATTGATTCGTGAGTCGTCTGGACTAGCCTAGTTTATATCTGAGACGAATTAGAAATGTTTGGTATTGATTCGTGATCAGTATCTCTACATGGTAATCATCTTGATAACTTTAAAATCTCTGAGGTCGCGGATGGTTTATTTTGTGTCTCTTCAGTACAGATTGGACTTTGATGGCTTTTTTCCTGATTTTCTTTACCAACCGCATAAATGAAGATTGGCACATACGCCAAATATTGCATTTTAAGTCAAATTTTGCCTAGACAGTGGCAACTGAGCTAATAAAGACCAGCATAATCTAAGTAATGTACTGTAAGGGGAATTTTGGCCGGACTGGGGCGGTTGTCTGCACCCACTGGGAAGACTGGCATATGCTAAGTAGTGTACTGTAAGGGGAATTATGCCCAGACAGTGTCGGATGTCTACACCAACTGGGCTAATGTAGACTGCCATACTATGAGGGAATGTTTGCCCAAGCAGTGGTGGTACGACTATTTTTTTGCATTTCCCAATATGGATCCTCCATAAATCAATTCACTTGACCAACAAGGATGCTTAAAATAGAATATTACGGCTTAGGGTAGTTCCTTTCGATTAAAATAGTTTGAGAGGGACTTTTGATAGATTAGTCTCAATATGTTATTCGGGGGTTGTATGGCGGAGTGGTTAGCATGTGCTCGCTGTATCATAAGGCCTGTCATTGAGTCAACTGGCGTAGTTTCGAATCCCTGGTAGCCCCTCCCACTGCTAATGACCCCGATGCGCAATCGAAGTATTTAAAATAAAATTAAACCATATGTTAGTCCCAAAATGACCTAGTTTGTGTCGAGTGGACGTTAAACTCCATTTCTCTCTCCCTCTCAATATGTTTTTAGTCCAAATATATCAAATCACACAGTTTGTATGCAGGAGGGTATCTTTAAGAAAATTTAATATAAAAAGCAGGTGTCAAACTGTCAGATGAAATTATATTTATATCACTCGGATGTCATAATTCACAGCTTTATCATGAAGATTCCTAAAATATCTTATATACCAATATATGTCGGTGTCTGGAAATAGATTGGGCAAGATATATGTCTTCCGCTTTAAAATTATCAAATATATTCAAGGCCAAACTAATCTGAACATTCTATTAAAATTCTGCTTCCCATGTCTTTGAAGGTGGGAATATAAAAAAAAATAAAATAATACTTGGTTACTCTAATCAAAGTGCCAAATTTTTAAGTTTTGAAATTTGAACAAAACATTATTCATTAGACTTGAGGAAATGAAATGAAATGAAATGGAGTTTAAAGTCCTACTGTTCTGCTCCTATACTGGTGTAATTAAGATGGGCATACGCCATACAGTGTGCTATGAGGGAAATTTTGCCCAGGCAGCGGCACTATCGCCTTCTCTAATATCGAATTCCAACTGCCAAGTGATCTTTTATGTGCATTCCAATGCATACACGGGACCTCGGTTTTTCGTGTCATCCGAAGGACTATACAGCTGTCCTTGTCAGGCCCTCCGTCCTGCATCACTGACAAGGGGGAACCACGCCTGAAAATCTGGATGAACTTTCTCGGCCAATGCAGGGATTGAACACCCAACCTCCAGTCTAGCGAGCCAGTGTCTTACCCACTTAGCCATGTGATCCCCCGCTAGACTTGAGAAGTAAATTGCTTTAGATCAGGGGGGTTGGATGGCTGAATGGTTAGCGTGCGCGCTGTATCATAAAGTCTGTCATTGAGTCGATTGGCGTGGTTTCGAATCCTCGTTTGTACGTAACAAGGAGTAGAGTCGCCTGTCCAACCTCGTGGGTTTTCTGCAGGTCCTCCGGTTTCCTCCCACTGCTAAAGACCCCTATGCGCAAGCGATTTATTGAAATAAAATTAAACCATATGTTAGTCCCGAAATGACCTAGTTTGTGTCGAGTGGACTTTAAACCCCATTTCTCTCTCTCTCTCGCTTTAGATTATAAGGTCTGTCATTGAATCAAGTGGCATGGTTTCGATTCCACTCTTGTACATAATGAAGACTAGGATCTCCTGTCCAACCTCGCAAGTTTTCTTCGGGCCTCCGGTTTCCTCCCATTGCTAAAAAACGTACTTGCAAGAGAACTATTGAAATAAAATTGAACCATATGTTAGTCCAAAAATGACACAACTGGAGTTGAATGGACCATAAAACCCCATCACTGAGTCATCTGCCGTGGTTTCGATTCCCCGGTTGTACGTGACAAGGAGTAGGGGTCGCCTGTCAAACCTTGTGGGTTTTCTCTGATTCCTCTAGTTTCCTCCTACTGCTAAAGACCCCTATGCGCATACGAATTATTGAAATGAAAAAAATGAACCATATGTTAGTCTCAACATGACCTAGTTTGTTCCGAGTGGAGTTAAACTCTCTACCTCGCTCTCTCTTTCTCTTATTATTATGTTATTGTAAGTGTTGAGTCTTGTGGATTCTGATAAAAATACAGAGCTAATATCATCTTAAATTGTAATTTAATGATAATCCTCCTATCTTTTTATTTTATTTAAACAGAGATAGTCCGTGCCTTTACTCATATTATCAATCAGGGATGGGCGCTTTACTGGGGAACCTCACGCTGGAGTCCAATGGAAATCATGGTAAGTTTTATTTTTTTAAAACAAAAATCATGGTGAGTTTCTGTTTGTTTTCACCACAAATATTTAAACATACATTATACAAGAGCTAAATCTGCCTATTGCAGGTCTTTTTTTAGGCCTGAAATATTATCTAAATTATTAATTAGACATTAATTAACTTATCCAGGCCATAATCAACTCTCGATGCTATCGCTAGCTTGCGATGTTTATTAGATTAGGTTCCGATTTCCTGTTCGACTTCCATTCATAATTTAATCATGAAATGGATAATCAAGACTATGTTTTCTATCGTACCAACATTAGTAATGATGATTGAGGCTAGGCCGAAAATTCAATCACTAAAATCTTGGTTTTGAGTGGATCAATTTGACTGATATTTTCAGCAAATCCCCTTTACATTATCTAGTTTTTAACTATTATAGTGAGAACTGCCAGCTCTTTATCTAATCTCCCATAATGTATCTTTGATAGGGTGACCCATGTACTCACAGAAATACAGTCCACCGCTGATAGTTCGAGACTACCACTGAAGCGTGCACATTCGCAGTGCCGAGACCAACTTTCTGACAGTATGATACTATAAATAGCCATGGCACGTGCAATTCTCTACAAATCTATCAACTATTACAGCCGTAAAAAATTTATTGTTGACGATTTTGAATAGCAGTAAAATTAAGCTTCTTGGTTATTACAGCAGATTTAGAAATTACGTTTGTTTCATTTTTTAGATCGCTTTATCATTAACTGTACCGTTAAGAGCGGCATCTTTTGGTTTAGTACAAATAATATCTCTGAATCACTCGGGTTAGACAGGAACATGATACTAGCAATAGTTTCATTTTACTTTTACAAGCTTCTTAAAAACGATTGTTGAGCTACCTAACGTGCTTATTTCTAAATTCAATTTCTTGTTCTAGCTTTCAGTCTATTATTTATACATGATTAATGGTCATAGCTTATTAAGTACAACATGATCGTTTATTTAGTGACTATAATTGTGTGAAACTGATTTGAGGCTTGGCATATATATAAATATTGTGGCGTAATTGTCGAGATATATGGAGATATTTATTTATGGTGGGCCACCCTATCTTTGAAATAGACAACAAATCATGTTCTACACACGAAGATGGTTGACAATCTTTATAGAATAAGGGAAGTGTGATAAGGTGCTCGAGGCAGAGTAATCCAAATAGACAATGATGCATGTTTACACAAAAAAAAGTGGAATCAAAACGGGAAGTGTTATAAGCTGGTTTAGACAGAGTGATTGTACTCTGTATGTTCGAATTAGACATGCATGCACTTTAGATCATAAGATCTGGTTTCGATCTTTTACTTTTAAAGATATATTATGGGAGATTAGATAAAGAGTTGAATGTTCTCGCTATAATAGTTAAAAAATATATAACGTAAATAGAATATGTTGAAAATTGATCCACTCTGAACCGAGATATGAGTTTTTGAATTTTAAGCCTAGCGTCGATCATCATTACTAAAGTTGGTACGATAAAAAACATAGTCTTGATTATCCATTTTTGGATTTAATCATCAATGAGCATTGGGCAGCAGATCGGATTCAAATCCAGTGAAAATCCGACACATAAGATGACATGGAGAATTGATTATGGTATGGATAAGTTAATTAATGTCTAATTAATAGTTTATATAACTTTAGCTCTTGCATAATGTATGTTTAAGTGACAAGCAAATTGTTTAAAATAAAATTTAAACTATATTTCAGTTCTGAAATGACCTAGTTTGTGTCCAGTGGACATTAAACCCACCTCTCTCTCTCTCTCTCTCTCTCTCTCTCTCTCTCTCAATGTCATTGTTTTTTTCTACAGGAAGCATATTCTGTTGCTCGCCAGTTTAATTTAATTCCACCTATAGCAGAACAAGCTGAATACCATTTATTCCAACGAGATAAAGTTGAATTACAGATGCCAGAATTATTCCAGAAAATAGGTAAATGTACGGACAATCTTTCACATTTTATTCAGTCATTACATTGTTAAATGGCATTGGGTATTGTTTTCATTTTTCGAAAAATATCAAACCTTGCACATAATAGTTCATGCTAAAGTGTACTCAAATTGAATTTTTAAAATTAAATTAAGAAAAATCAGAACCTGACTTGGAAAGAAGAGAGGTCGACCAAACAATTTTGTTAAGATATCAGCAGGTACTGACTTTTGACAGTATCCCATTTACATCATCTGCAGAGTATATCAAATGTTAACAATTTTCAATTCATCATAGCTTTGTAAGTACCAGTACCAGAGGCCGCGCAGCGATTTCCGAAGTGGGGGGGGCCTGACAATAATAATTGAGGGACAAAGCGACGTGAGGGCGTATTGCTGGAGGCGCCGCAGGCGGTGGAAGCTTCCGGCGTGGGGTTTGGATGTGATTTTTTGCATTTTTAAGTAACCCAAAACCCTCCTGCTATCACGAAAGAAAAGCTGACCATGACTCACCACTCATGTTATCCATGACGAGAACAATGCCAGTTATAATTATTATAAATGTAGAATGGGATGAAATTACCCATTTTTTTTTTATTTCTTTTTTTTTTTTTAAAAAAAGGTGGGGGAGCTGAAGCCCCCGAAGCCCCCCCTGTTCAGCGGCCCCTGAGTACGGGACTGATTTGAACCATTTAAGGACTGATTTTCTTAGAGATTCAACTTTCACAGTGTTGTAGTTTACAAGAGCTTCCTCAATCCATAATATGATCATCATAGACTTGAATTATATGACTGCTCATGGTTAATGGGCCAATACCAGGACCACAGTGAGATTTTTATGTGCCGGAGCAAGACATAGTTTGGCCCCACCCACACCTATGCCAGAGCAAGATATATTTTAAGCCCCTTCCCTACCTGTGCCAGAGCAAGATATAGTTTGGCCCCGCCGACACCTATGCCAGAGCAAAACATATTTTGGGGCCCTCCTATATACACCGGTGCCAGATCAAGAAATATTTGTGGCCCCTCCCACACCTATGCTGGAGCAAGACATAGGTTGGCCCTGTCCACACCTATGTCAGAGCAAGATATAATTTAAGCCAAGCCCACACCTATGCCAGGGCAGGACATATTTAGAACCCCTCCCACACCTGTACAAGGACATTAAGACCATAAATTACACTACAGTACATTTATGTTCAAAAGTCTTTATTTCTTAAGGCTGAGTCACACTAATGGATTTATCCTGAGATTTTATATCCGTAAGCTAAATCCTTTCATGTGAACGGGGAAAATTTGTCCTATAGGTTACAGGTTTTCTGACCTACGGATACATCCTTAGGTCTTATTCTCGTAGGATTTGTCCAGTGAATTGACCAATTGACCACAAAAACCTAGAGGATTTATGTTTGAAGATTTTCGCTAGGATTTGACTTAAAGGATAAACCCACTAGTGTGACTCAGCCTTTAGGGCATCAAGGATCAGAACAAGAGCCCTGCGGCAGGAATAACGGCTATGCCAACATAAAAAAGTTAAATAGATGGTTATTTTTGTATTTCAAGTATATTTTTTATATTTGAAGGTATAGGTACAATTACCTGGTCACCTTTAGCTTGTGGTATATTATCAGGTAAATATGAAGATGGAGTTCCAATATATTCCAGGGCAGCTTTAAAGGTGAGTAGCTTTTAATGAGTTAAAGTGGGGGATCACGATGGGTAAGACGCTGGCTCGCTAACCTGGAGGCAGGGTTTTCGACCCCTGCATTGGTATAGAAAGTTCATACAGGTTTGTTTTTCCGGCGTGGTTCCCCCTTGTCAGTGATGCAGGACGGAGGGCCCGACAAGGACAGCTGTCTAGTCGTTAGGATGGGACGAAACAACGAGGTCCCATGTACACATTGGCGTGCACATTAAAGATCCCTTGGCAGTTGGAATTCGATATAAGAGTAGGCCGTAGTGCCGCTCTCCGGGCAAAATTTCCCTCATAGCACACTAGGGAATTTTTATCTGATTTTGATGAAACTTAAAATATATGTTTATATCCCATAGATTTCGACTCCTTTTGATATCCATGCATTATGTCCCCTGATTGTACGAAAAATTGCTTGCTTTTGTTTTAGCTTGTTTTCTGCCCATCTCTTGCAAAATGTGCAAAATGTGGGTGTAATATGCATGTTTAGTTGATATCGAACAGGTGAACGTTAATATAATGATAACAAGTGTGCATCAGTTTATTTACCCACTTACTGAGTTATAGAATTCGCAGGTAAACTGCACATGTTTATACTCAAACACCCCAACGGTTCAGCTAAAAAAGGTGCATTCAATTGCTTTCATATCTGTCTGCACTTCTATTATATAGTTTGATGCCAGGTGTCACACTGTGTAATTGGTCTTTGATGTTTATATTCAGAAGAATGGTTCCCTGATATGAGACTTTTATATGCAGGAGTGGGAAATTATATCCTTAAAAACTGATTACGTTATTTGTTACAGGGATATGGCTGGCTAAAAGATAAGATTTTATGTGAAGATGGCCGACGACAACAAACGAAACTGCGTGAAGTAGCTGTGATAGCAGATAAATTAGGATGTTCTATAGCACAATTAGCGATAGGTATGTTGATGAAATTAAATAATTTTATCTGTACACTATAAACATGCACCACCCATGGTGAATCTATGTAGACGTTTCTAATAGTGGCAAATTGTTAAATAACTTGAAAGACTTATTGACTTTATATGTCTGCCCAGTCTCCATGTTAAATTGATGCTGTTCTGCCGAGTCTTCCATGTTCAAATGATGCTGTTCTGTCCACCCTCTATTGACGCTGTTCTGCCCAGTTTCCCACCCTCTATGGATACTGTTCTGCCCAGTCTTCCACATTGAATTGTTGCTGTTCTGCCCAGTCTTTTATCCTCTATTGATGCTGTTCTGCCCAGTTTCCCACTCTCTATTGATACTGTTCTGCCCGGTCTCCCAACTTCTGTTGATGATTTTGTCCAGTTTTCTTCCCAATCCACCGCTCCTGATACAGTAAGTCCTGCCGCTGTTTGTCCATTCCCCCCCACATTCCTCCGCCCCCCCCCCCAGTCCCCAATCATCCCTAACGCTGCTGTTTTGTATCCACTCCTTCCTTCTGCTTCCGATATTCTACAAAGTTTCTTTTTCTACTGCTGTTCTTTCCCAAATCTTCATTAGGATTTTCCGACATGGTTTCCCCTTGACATTGGCGCATTACGACGGGCCTGACAAGGACAGCTGTTTAGTCGTTTGGATGGGACAAAAAACCAAGGTCCCGTGTACACATTGGTGTGCACATAAAAGAGCCTTTGGCAGTTGGAATTCGATATAAGAGTAGGCCATAGTGCCGGTGCCTGGGAAAAATTTCCCTCATAGCATGCAGTATGCCCGTCTTCATTAGCCCAGTATAGGAGCAGAACAATAGGACGTTAAGCCCCATTTCAATCCCTACAAATCCTTTCTCAAACAGCTCTTGCATAATGTATTTTTAATAGTCCACCTGGCTAAATAATTTAGGCCTAAGAAAGACATTAAATAGAAAGATTTAGCTCTTGCATAATGCCTGTTTAAAGAAGATATTGTATGTTTAACGTTTTATTTCTCAGCCTGGTGTTTACGAAATGAAGCAGTACATTGTGTATTGATTGGGGCTTCCACAGTGGAACAGCTGTATGAAAATATTCAGGCATTACAGGTACCGCACCTTTAAAACTAGCATCTTTTTACAGAATTTTCTGTGTGAAATGTTTATAGCTTGTTATTTTTCTTCATGCCGTGGTTTTGCAAACTAACTTTTCAAAAACTAAAGAAATATTTTATTCTAATGCTAACACATTGCTTTATTTACTAATATAGTACAATTAATTCACAACACTCTTCTTAACTCAAATTCTTAATCATAATAAAAAATTTTTTTCTCTTTTTTTATTAATTCTGTTATACTTATATTTTTCTGAATTTTGAACACATATTAAATGGTTGCGGTTTATAATAAAAGTAATTACTCTATCGCTTAGGCCAAACCAGTTTAATTTTCTGTTTTTCTAGGGCCTGATAAACAAATAGCCAACTGAGACATTGAAACATGTTTTGTTTAAAACTGAAGAATTAAAAATTAGAACCCAAAGCTTTTGAACAGTAATTTCGGTTTTAAATTAGTCGTATTCCCAAGGGGGAGTTGAATGTCCGAATGGTTAGCACGTGCATTTTGTATCATAAGGTCTGTCATTGAGTCAACTGCTGTGGTTTTGATACCTGGTTGTACGTGACAAGGAGTATGATTGCCTGTCCAACCTCGTGGGTTTTCTCTGGATCCGCCAGTTTCCTTCCACTGCTAAAGACCCCTATACGGAAGTGAATTATTGAAATAAAATTAAACCATATGTAAGTCCCGAAATGACCTAGTATGTGTCGAGTGGACGTTAAACTTTATATTAGTCTTTATCCCAAAGGAAAACAAAAGAAAGTTTTTAACAGGTGTTCCGTAAGAACAGAAAATCGAATTGGTTTGACCTAAGTGGGTGAGGTTTATAATATCACCTTATTCACTTTGATTAAATTTGCAAATATCTATATATATATTTGTGACTGTCGTTTGTCTGTCTGTCTGTTCGGGGTTGGCGGCTACACTAGGTCTGAAATTTGGGGTATAGGGGTAGCTCGGACCGGGGAGTAATATAGGCCAGGTGGCGTTAGTCTACCACTTCCGGTTTCGGAGTTATGACCCTTGAGCGAAGCCGATCTGTTCGGGGTTGGCGGCTACACTAGGTCTGCCCCGAGTCTGAAATTTGGGGTATAGGGGTAGCTCGGACCGGGGAGTAACATAGGCCAGGTGGCGTTAGTCTACCACTTCCGGTTTCGGAGTTATGACCCCCGAGTGAAGTCTGTCTGTTCAGGGTTGGCGGCTACATCTGCCCCGAGTCTGAAATTTGGGGTATAGGGGTAGCTCGGACCGGGGAGTAACATAGGCTAGGTGGCGTTAGTCTACCACTTCCGGTTTCGGAGTAATGATCTCCGAGCGAAGCCGGTCTGTTCGGGGTTGGTGGCTACACTAGGTCTGCCCCGAGTCTGAAATTTGGGGTATAGGGGTAGCTCGGACCGGGGAGTAACATAGGCCAGGTGGCGTTAGTCTACCATTTCCGGTTTCTGAGTTATGACCCCCGAGCGAAGTCTGTCTGTTCAGGGTTGGCGGCTACACTAGGTCTGCTCCGAGTCTGAAATTTGGGGTATATGGGTAGCTCGGACCGGGGAGTAACATAGGCCAGGTGGCGTTAGTCTACCACTTCCGGTTTCGGAGTTATGACCCCCTAGTGAAGCCGGTCTGTTCGGGGTTGGCGGCTACACTTTGTCTGCCCCGAGTCTGAAATTTGGGGTATAGGGGTAGCTCGGACCGGGAAGTAACATAGGCCAGGTGGCGTTAGTCTACCACTTCCGGTTTCGGAGTTATGACCCCCAAGCGAAGCCAGGTATCCTGCTAGTTTTATAATAAAAAATACAGGTCTGCAGTAGATTTTTTTTTTTTTGAACACTTAAATTTTTCAGTGATCGCCAGAGTAATGTTTCAAATCATTTGTTTGTGGGTTTAATTTACAATTCTTTTTTGCAAATAGTTTGTTTCAAGACTAACTACCGATATCCAAGATACGTTGGACTCTGTGTTAGACACAAAACCTCCACCTAAAACACCTCAGGGATCCTTTCGACGATCATTGTCATGGTAACTAGTTCATATACATCCAGCCATTACCCTGCCCCCTAATTGTAGCACTTATATAATTATATATTCATATATCTAATTTACATAGTATTATTGTCAACTTATCCTAAACGTTTATTTTCTACGATACTCATTTATTTGTTGTCGAGCTGCATTTAATGTATATTGCTTTAGTTTTTATGAACAATCCCATTTTGTTCCGTTTTTTATTGAACTCAATCTGGTTAAAACACAGATCTTATTTCGTTTTTTTTTTTATAGTTCGAAATTTCGTTTTACTCGTCTTTACTACACTAGGATCTGGAAGAGTTGTTACCATTGACATGTTCTGAATGGTGTGAGGAATTAGCCAATAAAACGGTCTGTTACGGCGAGCTTTAGGCATGTTTTGCACGGAACTGTGGGTAAACTATTAGTAACATCAATGCTGATTGGTTAATCAAATGTCTGACGTCATAGATCAAAAGCTGCTTGTATGACCTCTGATGCGACCTATCGCTAAAACCGGTCAGATCTCCATGTAGTGTAGACCATCGAAAATATAAAAAAACGAAACGAAATATAGATCTGTGTTTTAATCAGATTGTATTAAACTAGGCTTTAAGTGTTTCGTAACCCTGTTCAGTCGCAACTTTATTTAATTTGTAGGTTTTCATCAATTGCACTATATTACAAACTGTGACATCAAATTGAGAATAAAACATACTGAAGCATGAAAAGCGGGGTGAAATATATTTATATATTGTATGTGAATATTGTGGACTTTCACTTAAAGTTCAGAAATTCTCTGGGAATATTAATTTCAATTATAAATGTCTGTTTCGTATTTTCATAGAGAAGTAAATATTGATTTTTTTTATATGCCCACGTCATGGGATATTGTCAGCCATATCCATTATTTGACTTCTGTTGACAATTTGTGGTTTCCGCTTGTCAGTGGTGCAGGACGGCGGGCATGACAAGGAAAACTGTCTACTCATTCAGATGAGGTCCCGTGTACATATTGCATGTAAAAGATCCCTTGGCAGTTGGAATTCAACATAAGAGTAGGCTGCAGCGTTGCTCTGTGAGCGAAATTTCCCTCATAGCACACTGTATGGCCGTCTTCATTAGCCCAGTTGGTGCAGAAAAGTAGGATATTAGAACCCATTTCATTTCTTTTGATGTTGGTTTACAATTTGGAGCCACAGTAACCTGGAGGAATTTGGTTTGTTCCTAGAACAGCATGGTTTCCCTTTGTCAGTGGTATAGAATAGACTGTCGAGTAAAGAACTATATTTACTCATTTTGATGGGATAAAAAAAAAGCAATGTAGGAAATTGAAAAGTAGGTGATAAAAAGTAGGTGGGACTGCTGTTGATAATAAAAGTCACTACTCATCATCTGTATTTTTATGACAATTTCTCATTTTTCACAGCATAAAAGGCCCTTATTGACATGTTTACTTACCCAATTAATGCCCTTGTGTATGATTTAACAAATCTTTCTTATCTCACACCACATCTTGTATATAAAAATGCTTCTCAATATGATCTGCCATTGACCAGTAGGATCGCTGTCCATCCTTGTGGGTTTTCTCTGAATCGTCCAGTTTCGTCCCACTGCTAAACACATTATTGAAATGACAGAGTTTGTATCAAGTGGATGTTGAAACCCATTCTGCTTGATCCAGCGCCATCAGGCACAAGCTGTTCAGTGTGCTATGAGGGAAATTTTTCCTGGACAGCGGTGCTTCAACCTACTTTTATTTCGAATTCCAACTGTCAAGGGTTCTTTTACGTGCACACCATCAGAAACAAGTGACCTCAGTTTTTCATACGACCCGAATGACAATACGTTGTTTCTTGCCAGGCCCTATGTCCGGAACCAAGCCAGAAAATCAGCCAACACCTGGATTAAACCTGGGATCTGAAATGAAATAAAATGAAATGGGGTTTAACGTCCTACTGTTCTGCTTCTATGCTGGGCTAATAAAGACGGGCATACGCCATACAGTGTGCGATGAGGGAAATTTTGCCCGGGCAGCTGCACTACGGCCTACTCCTATATCGAATTCCAACTGCCAAAGGATCTTACCCACTTAGCCAACGTGACCCCCCAAACCTACAGGTTACTGAACAAGCACCTGATTTAGCCACTGCAGCTCCTTTTTTATGTTAGAAATATAGATCAAGTTATAGAACTTGTTTATTAACAAAATGCTTACACATAACACCTAGGCTTTCGTATTGAATATTCAATTCATGAATAAATAAAATGGAGTTTAATGACAAGCCAGCATCAACCGAACTCAAACCATATTGCACCAAACATATGGTGTATATAACATATTTAATTCAACTGTTTCAGGCATTTTGAAAACGGTTTAACAGAAACAGTTGTATAAAGGTATATAAGATAGATACGCCTTCGTATTCAAATATATACATGTATTTATATATATTTAATCATCATGCCAGCAAAACCCCTGTACCATATGTTCTTGCTATCATCTTATTTTTAGTGAAGTCATTTATTTTTTATATTTTTTAAACTTTTTTTGTTTTGCATTCGTGACATTAATTACTTTTATAAAGTTAATAGAATATATCTATGAATTTGTTCTGTAATAGAAAGGAAATGATGACGTGAATCCCAATTGTGCATTTTTTCTAGTTGTTCATAGCTTATAGGGGGTAAGTGAGAGGGATGCAATGATGCGCTTTGCGCCATGGTTTTGGGTTATTGTGCCCCCTTAACTTTTTGCGCCCCCTCGCAAATGGCAACAAGTCGCACGATTTCAATGCATTTTTTTAAAACATAATCATGATGCTTAACCAGTGTCAGTAGAAGACGACAGACAACTGTTGTAAAGTAAGGTCTGAGATAGCTGGAGACCAATGATAGGAGGACATTTATACTGGGAGCACAGCAATACACAGGGTGGGAGGGCGGCATAGAGGAGACGATGTAATATGACACACATCCCCTGTAACCGGTTTAGGTCAGATCAAAAGATCCGAAACGTTGATGAATAAACCACTTGATCTATGGAGTTCATCTGACTTATATCCCCTTGTCAGTGATGCAGGACGGAGGGCCTGTCAAAGACAACTCTCTAGTTGTTCGGATGGGATGAAAAACCGAGGCCCTGTGTATGCATTGGTGTGCACATAAAATATCCCTTGGCAGTTGGAATTCAATATAAAAGTAGGCCATAGTGCCGCTGCCTGGGCAAACTTTCCCTCATAGCACACTGTATGGCGTATGCCCGTCTTGATTAGCCCAGTATAGGAGCAGAACAGTAGGACGTTAAACCCCATTTCATTTCATGTGGTCAATCGCAGTTTTTGGATGAGATCATATTGAGAAGATTTTGTGCGAGATAAGACAGATTCATTGATATTTGCAATCTGATTAAAATACAGATTTATATTTCTTTTCATTTTTTTATACTTTTGATGGTCTCTACTACATGAAAATCTGACTAGTTGTAGAGGTCATACAAATGGCTTTCGACCTTATGATGTCAGCCATTTGATTGACCAATCAGTGTTAATGTTTCTAGTGGGTTACCCACAGACCATTTCATTGGCTAATCCCTCAAATCACCCAGCACACAGGTCATATAACAACTCTTCCAGATTCTAGTGTAGTAAAAACAAGTAAATCGAAATTTTCAACTATATAAAACGAAAAGTATCTGTGTTTCAATCAGATTGTGGGATAAGAAAGATTCATTGATGTTTGTAAACATGTCTAAAAAACTTATTGGTGCAAAAAAGTAGGACATTATACCCCATTTCATTTCAATGGCAGTTGTTGGCCGAGATCATATTGGTGTGTTTAGAAGCTTTTTTAAACATAAGTTATGGTTTGGGATAAGACAGATCCAGTGATATTGGTCTTAAAGATTTATCAATTTAGTAAATCTGCTAATCACACAAGAGATGAATAATAATAATAATATGGTCATTTATAAAGGGCGTTAATTTCTCATAGTAAGTGCAGGGAGACTTATTGAAGTAAAAATTAACTATACAAGTAACAACATCGGTGAAATGTATAAAAAAAAAAGGTAGTCTAAAACTAAATGCACTAAGTCAATTGAGAAGCGTTTTAGTATTCAATAGAAACAAGGCATATTGAATACAGTTAGGGCACATGTTCCACCCATCACAAAAACAGAGCAAAAAACAATACTGAATACAAAGAAGCAAATGAGAAAAAAAAAGGTGCTGTTGGTTTTTATAATCACTGATTATTTACTGATCAGGGTTTTGAAACAAGAATGTTTTGAGTTGAGATTTAAAATGGCCCACAGTTGTTAATTGTTTCAATGACTGTGGTAATCCATTCCACAGAAAAAGGACCAGCATAAGAAAAGGCACGTTTTCCATGTTGTAAGTTAATGGCTGGAGATTTCAGAAGATGTTTTTTCTGAGAACGGAGATTTCTGCTGGTAGTATAGGGTTCTAAAAGACTTTTTATATAAGATCGAACTTGGCCATTTAAATCTTTGAAGACAAAGAGGAGTAACTTGAACTTAATTCTTTGCTGAATTGGGAACCAATGTAAAGATTGCAATACAGGGGAGATGTGTTGATGGTTTCTAGTTTTAGTGAGGAGTCGAGCTGCTGAATTTTGAGCATGTTGTAGTTTATTAATCTGATAGTCTGGTAAGCAATATAGTAAACCATTGTGGTATTCTAGTTTAGTTGCGATGAATGCGTCAATGAGTTTACCTTTATTTTCATAATTGAGATAGCTTTGGATCTTTCCTATTCAATGTATATGATAGAAGGCAGTGGAACAAATACTTTGTATGTGATCTTTAAACGATAGGTTTGAGTCTAATATAGCACCACTATTTCAAGCCTTATAGGTTCCTGAAATTATTTCTTTGTCAAAATTAACTAGCGTTTGAAGGGAGAGAGAGAGATGGGGATATACCTTGTTTGTCCACTGTTCAGTGGTGTTTATTTCAGATTTATTTACACAATGGTCACAGACTTATTTGTACTAAAAATATAATAGTTCAAGTGAAATTCAAAATGGACATTCAACTGTGTGTATATATAGTCTTCAATTTATTTACCAGAACTTGTAAAATGAAAGTTTAATAATGAATTCATATCTTTTGGTTTTTATATAGTCTTCAGTTTATTTACCAGAACTTATAAATTGTTTAATAATGACATCATCTTTTGTTTTTTATATAGTCTGTTTTATTTTCTTGTTCATTTATTCTGTCGTGTATTTTCTTGCTGAAAAGCAACCATTTTGGGGAAAACTAGAGTTATCCCCCTTCATTCTCCAGAAAATGTGCACTCATTGAAATTTCGTATTATAAGTAAAATGAATCCTCTTATAAAGACAGTTTGAAAAAACTATAAGATTGAAGGCTTCACAATGAATGAATAAAATTCGTTCTTGAATATAAAACGGGGCTGTCGGAACAAGTCTATTATTTGTGTGTGGGGGGGGGGGGGATGTTGGTAAAGGGAAGCCAAAATAGGGACCTGGGGGAATCTTACACTAATGAACACATAATTTCAAATTATCCCCCCCCCATTACTGATAGCCCTGTAAAAGAGAAAGGTAAGGTTTCCTGCTGGTTTAGATAAATATTTCTGTTTCAGCTTTTCTTGTTGTATGCGTTACTCCCTCCTCTACACCTTCCTGTATAGATGCTTATAGTACGATATAGATAGGTAGATATACTATAATCTGATGCATGTCATGACGTAATCATCTCATACAGCATGGTTCCAGTATTTTATAATCAATAATTATTTATATATTGTCAGTGGCGTGCAGAGAGGTTAAAGGGTGATAGCCCCGGGCATCCATTTTGTTACGCCACAATATTTATATATATGCCAAGCCTCAAATCAGTTTCACACAATTATAGTCACTAAATAAACGATCATGTTGTACTTAATAAGCTATGACCATTAATCATGTATAAATAATAGACTGAAAACTGGTTCCAAGAGTCGTCCATAACATCCATCCACTTTTGAGTAAAAGATAGGTTACGTGCCCTTGTTTTGAAATTAGTCTCGCTTAACCAGTCTATCGACCATTCTACGTCTGATTGACAGGTCGGGATAATCAAGACTACTTTTTTACGAAACATGACAGAAAGCTAGAACAAGAAATTGAATTTAGAAATAAGCACGTTAGGTAGCTCAACAATCGTTTTAAGAAGCTTGTAAAAGTAAAATGAAACTACTGCTAGTATCATGTTCCTGTCTAACCCGAGTGATTCAGAGATATTATTTGTACTAAACCAAAAGATGCTGCTCTTATCGGTACAGTTAATGATAAAGCTATTTTAAAAATGAAATGAACGTAATTTCTAAATCTGCTGTAATAACCAAGAAGCTTAATTTTACTGCTATTCAAAATCGTCAACAATAAATTTTTTACGGCTGTAATAGTTGATAGATTTGTAGAGAATTGCACGTGCCATGGCTATTTATAGTATCATACTGTCAGAAAGTTGGTCTCGGCACGGCGAATGTGCACGCTTCAGTGGTAGTCTCGAACTATCAGCGGTGGACTGTATTTCTGTGAGTACATGGGTCACCCTACTATAATAGTTAAAAACTAGATAATGTAAAGGGAATTTGCTGAAAATTTCATTCAAATTGATCCACTATGAACCGGGAACTAAGCGGTTTAAATTTCCAGCTAGCCTTGATCATCATTACTAAAGTCAGTACGATAAACAGCATAGTCTCGATTATCCATTTAATCGTTAAATTGTGAAGGAAAGTTATGCAGTAAATCATCTCATAATCCACTAAAGATTGCAGGCTAGCGATGCCATCTAGAGTGGATTATGGTCTGGATAGGTTAATTAATGTCTAATTAATAATTTAGATAACATTTCAGGCCTAAAGAAAGACCTGCAATAGACAGATTTAGCTCTTGTATAATGCATGTTTAATATCAAGTCTTTGTTTAAAAATTCTTTGAAATCATTTCAATATCACTCAAAATCATCTAATTTGTACTTGTGTCCAGTTTAAAGCTGACTGATTAATTTTGATAATGAGTGTCCAATTTACAAGTATTTAATTTCTCGATCACTGTTAAGAAATTCATCATTATACATCAATAATCAATTGGGTTGTTTATTTTTTAACAGTGATCGAGAAAGTAACGCAGGTAAATTGGACACTCGTTATCAAAATTGAATGGTTTGCTTTAAACTAGACACAAGTACAATTTAGATAATTTTGGGTGATTTTAAACGATTTTTACAAATTTTTAAACAAAGATTTGATATTAAACGATTTTTACGAATTTTTAAACAAAGATTTGATATTAAACAAATGTGAAAGAAATTAGTGCTAGATACTCAAGAATAAATGATACCCGGGTTACAGTGCTAGGCTATATACTTGAGTCTTGTGGGCAAATGGACATACGGTCAAGGGGTTAGCTCCAGAGGGCATCACCAAATCTCTGCACGCTACTGTATAATAATAATAAGACACGACGATATCAAGATTACAAATATACAAAAGATATTTATTAGACTCATATTTCAAGTCTATGCGGTTTTCTATAGAATTTTTAAGGAATAAAATCTTATCTTAGTCTAAGGATCAAAGGGACATGTATTTTTAATCTGGGTAGTTCGGCTTATCATTACTTACCATATAAATGGAAGAAGGGTTAGAGATGAAACAAGTTTTTGTCAACAATTATTTGGAATGAATTGAAAATTGCGTTTAACGTCCTATTGTTCTGCTCTTACTGGGCTAATGAAGACGGGCATATGCCATACAGTGTGCTACGGCCCACTCTTATATCGAATTCCAACTGCCAAGGGATCTTTAGCATGCACACAAATGTATACACAGGACCTCGGTTTTCGGTCCCATCTGAATGACTAGACAACTGCCCTTGTCAGGCCCTCAGTGACAAGGGGGGAACCACGTTGGAAAATCCCAATGAACTTTCACAGCCAATGCAACAAGCCACCTCCAGGCTAGCGAGCCAGCATCTTACTCACTTAGCCACCGTACCTCCCAATAATAATTTGATAAGCCTCGTGATTACGGACCCCAACTATATGAACGACTCCTACTACTAATTTTGATTAATATTAATCTTTATTATAGTAGTATATCTGGTGGTTTGGATAGTTCGAAAAATCAAAGCCTGCTGCATTCCATTGGCATCATGTTAAAGATTCCCTGGCAGTTTAAAATTGAAATAAGAATAGGCATTAAATCCCATTTCATTAATTCTGTTTATAATTAGTGGTAAGCTAAACGACCAGAGTAATAAATCCAACCCTGTGTTTGAAATTTATAAGTATGTGTTATTACTTAAAGATACATTATGCAAGAGCTAAATCTGCCTATTGCAGATCTTTATTTAGACTTTAAATGTTATCTAAATTATTAATTAGACATTAATTAATTTATCCAGACCATAATCAACTCTCGATGTCATCGCATTTCTTCGATATTAAATAGATTAGAACAGTTCAGCCATATTTTGATTTGGAGGAGCGAGACTTAGCTTTGAACAACCAGTATGGTGGTTGAAATTATTGCACACGTCTTGTCAAACCTTCAAAGGCTATTATCTTCGCTCGCAATAGAGTAATTTGAATGAAATTTTCAATATTTTCATTTTACATTATCTATTTTCAAACTATTATAGCAAGAATGGCTAGCTCTTTATCTAAATCATACATAATGTGTCTTTAAGTAATTTAATGTAAAGTAGCTTAACAATTATTTATATCATTAAACTATTTATACTATAAACCATATATAAGTCACGATAGTTATTATTTCCTGTCTTAGATCAGGATATTTATTTAATTAACTGTCATAAATACAAAGGTTTAAAGTCAGTTGATACTAATTTGATATATCAAAATATTGTGAAGATCCGCTGGGAACTAGGATGTTATGGCGATACATTAGACACGAACTTACTCTCTAATTGCTGATCGTTTGATAACTGAACAATGAATATAATATTCCTAAATGAATCGGCGTCAATTTGGTGTACAAATGAAGTAAAAATTCATAAAGAAAAATTCAATAGGTGAAAGCCCAGAATTTGCCAATTGTGATTTTTGGCACAGTGAAAGTGAAAATCGGTCATAAATTACAGCTATTCGTATTTGCGATCATTTGTTTTTTTGTTTTTCTTTCTTCAGTACTTGCCCAAGTTGAATAAACCTATAATATCGGAAATGGAGAAAATTTTGGGAAATAAACCAAGAAAATCTAGTCAAAGCAGCAGGTAGGTAAAATAATAGAGGTCTATTTGATCCGATTTTGCATGGGATATACCAACTTTGACACCGTCATTTGTGCTTGAGATTATAAAGTCAGTCATTGAGTCAAGTGGCATGGTTTCGATCTCAGTAGGGGTGGGGTGTGGCTGAATTGGTTAGGGGGGTTGGGTGGCTGAATGGTTAGCATGTGCACGTTGTACCATAAAGTCTGTCATTGAGTCAACTGGCGTGGTTTCGAATCCCCGGTTGTATGTGGCAAGGAGTAGGGTTGCCTGTCCAACCTCGTGGGTTTTCTCCGGGTCCTCCGGTTTCCTCCCACTGCTAAAGACCCCTACGCGCAAGTGAATTATTGAAATGAAATTAAACCATGTGTTAGTCCCAAAATGACCTAGTTTGTGTCGAGTGGACATTAAACCCAATTTCTCTCTCTCTCTCTCTCTGAATTGGTTAACGCGTGCAGGTTAGATCATAAGGTCTGTCATTGAGTCGACTGGCGTGGTTTCAATTGCCCGATTGTACGTGGCAAGGAGTAGGGTCGCCTGTCCAACCTCATGGGTTTTCTCCGGATCCTCCAGTTTCCTCCCACTGCTAAAGACCCCTACACGCAAGCGAATTATTGAAATTAAGTTGAACCATATGTTAGTCCCAAAATGACCTAGTTTGTGTTGAGTGGACGTTAAACCCCATTGCTCTCTCCCACGAAAAACACAAGTGAATTATTGAAATTAAGTTGAACCATATGTTAGTCCCAAAATGACCTAGTTTGTGTCGAGTGGACGTTAAACCCCATCTCTCTCTCTCCCACGAAAAACACACCAAAGTAATTTATTAAGAAAAAAATAAAATTGTGTCAATTTATCAATTTAATAAACCAAAAGTGTTCTTCCGTAAAATGTGCCTCTTGCCAAGGCCAGCTCCTTTGTTAGGTACATTTGTTATTTGCTTGGACATTGATGTTTTGATTTTTATAATGTTATTAAGGTTTTTGTTTCTTTCAGCAGGTCGAGGCAAGGAAAACATTCGTTATGATATCTGGGAGATCACCATGCAGACCTTTTACTGTTATTTAATTTTATAACGTAACATGTTAATCCTGATACATTTTGTAATTTAATAACTCCAATATTCATTAAATTGTCAACGTCTATTTTATCATAGGTAATATACAACTGCCAAGTATATTTTTTAAAATTTCCCCCCAAAGAGAGAGGAAGAAAATGATGTAATAGGGGGTCTATAATTCAAATTTTAAAATTCAAATTTTAATAGCTGTTCTTGAAGAACTAAAGGTTAAAATTTAAATTTTAATAAATGATCATGAAGAAGGAATGAAAAGTTCTAAAATGCAAATTTTAATCATTGATCCTAAAGAACTAAAGCTTTAAAGTTCAAATTTTAATAGTGGCTCCTCATTAACTAAATACATTAAACCAAATTGGTGTGAGCGAAAAACGAAAACAGGCTTTATTTATTTGTTTATCAGGGTTAACAATTTATGTTTATAAACTGTTAACTTGTATCTATGGCAACTTTACTTGATATTATTGTATATAATTTGATTAAAAAATATGTAAATTTTGAACAAATCTAAATTATTATACTTACCAGTGAAAAAGTACTTTGTAATTACATTTCATTTGATTGATTATTAATAACCAGTGAAAAATACTTTGTAATTACATTTCATTTGATTGATTATTGGCAACCACTTCAAAATACATTGCAATTACATTTCATTTGAAAAATACATTGTAATTACATTTCATTTGATTGATTATTGATAACCACTTAAAAATACATTGTAATTACATTTCATTTGATTGATTATTGATAACCACTTCAAAATACATTGCAATTACATTTCATTTGATTGATTAGTAATAACCAGTGAAAATATGTTGTAATTACATTGCATTTGATTGATTATTGATAACCACTTAAAAGTACATTGTAATTACATTTTGTTTGATTGATTATTTATTTATTACAGTGAAAACTGCATTGTTTTGACATTTCATTTGATGGACTATTAATAACCACTGAAGATACATTGTAATTACATTTCATTTGATTGCAAAGACTTTGTTGATTGCAGAGGAGAAAAAAGTCCTTCAGGGAAGAAGAATATGTGTTACTTCCCTTAACAGAGCATTTTGAATGGATTCTGATTTTGATATATTTTATTTAACTGCACAGTATTTCAGAGCAACAGAATGTCCAATTGGGCATATTCCCGGTCTGATGTTTGCCAGCTTGCGAGGACATCTCCAACCCATACGGTCAAAATAGAATCCAAATGTAGATTTTCAGTCCACAAAATGTTAAAATCAAGTATTACTTTCTATCAATTTCACGATTTCACTTTTCCACGCTTGTTTGAATAGTTTTCTGTCTACGAACTTCAAGATCAAGAGGGTAACTTTTTTTAAAATTGTCTCTATTGCAATCCAAAAAAACACTTTTTGAAGATTTTTTTTATTATTTAATTTAAATACAGAAAATGATTAAAGGCTCCAATTATGATTTTTTTTTTAGCAAAAATGAAAATGTGGTAGAAAGGTTGTTACCATTGCTTAAAGTTATACTCCCTTGGAGCTCAGGGCTGAAGTTTCACTAATTATTTAAACAGCATTATAGTATGAATTTTTCCTCTTTAGGTGATATAAACATCTTAAACATACATTATACAAGAGGACAATCTGCCTATTGCAGGTTTTCTTTAGGCCTTAAATGTTACATAAATTATTAATTAGATATTTATTAACATGACCAGACCCATAATCAACTCTCAATGCCATAGGATGGGTCCGATTTAAGTAGATTATAACGATTTGGACATATAATGATTTAATTTAAAAATAGTGAAGCAAGGCTTCCTCGAACAATCAGTACAATGGTTACAATCAGTAGAAATTGGCAGCCATCTTGGGTTTTGGCAGCCATTTTGATTTTTTTTATCTGACTGCTTAACACTCGAAACAGAATTGTTCTATAGACCCTTACGTTCAAATTTGTACTGAAAACGAAACTTTTGCATAAATTTGAAATGACTGAGTGTCTTCGAACTCCACTATTATGTATCTTTAATAAAAGTTATAATATATTCCATAGAAAGTTGCATTTATATCACAACATTCATTCCTTTTAAAATATACAATATTTATCTACTGTACATATTCAATCAGAGCTATTGGATTTTAAATATATTTTTTGTTGTTGATAACTGTCCACAGCACAAGGTATAATATTGGCTTGTATAAATATACTCTTCAAAAAAAGTAGGGGATATTCAGAAACATACAAAACTGCGGAAATGCACTGATGTTTTTATTAGAGGTAACCAGTGTTGTTGATAACAGGCCAATTGCCTACACATGAACATAAACAGTTCATATGGGCGGCTTTTTTGACGGCCCCATTTCACTCGCAAAGAGATACACTGTCAAAAGTGAAAATGGACGGTTTTGATTTTTGTCTTAATAATGAGTAATTGCTCCACCAATCCTCAGACATTCAGCAATTCGTCGTGGCATGCTCCTAATCAACCGTCCAATCACGATTTGGAGCAATCTGGCCCACTCCTCTTGCAGTGCCACGGCCAATTCTCCCAATCAAATTAAACGTAACACACTAAAGCAAAGATACGCCAAACAGTAAATCTTATGCAAGAACCGATAGGCAAGCAAACATGGATAGATAAACCAGCACGCGTCAGTTTTCATCTACCCTTCCTTGAAGTGTCAAATTTGACGATGAACCCCTCCCATGTGTATGGCCAGGCGATACGTTTCAAGTCAGTAGCTTGAAGCGTATATATGGTATTAGTGTCAGTGGCCTGTGGCACGAAGTAACAGTATATTGTCGCATACATAATATATTATGTCAACGCTTGGGCGATATAATATATTATGTCAACGCTTGGAACTAGGATGGAGGTGACTAGGCATGAACTTGCAACGATAGATTTAATTGGCGCTTTGATAACCAATGAATGCTTTGGAGACATATTTTGGCGGTATTTTCCATCATGGAATCGGTAAGTTTCGATTGTTTTTTTCTTTTCTGTTTTTTCTCTCTTTTCTGTGTCCTAACCCTAACCCTAACCCTAACCCTAATCCGAAAGAAAAGTGCCCTTTTTTGAAATTCTGACATCACAGGTGCCCTTTTTCTGATAAGGATGCCCTCTTTTATTTACAGGGACACTTTCTATTGTTAAGGGGGTGGACCGGTCCCCATGGTCCAACCCCTGGATCCGCTCTGATGACGCGTACATTCCACTGAGTCTACAGGTCTAATATGCTAACACGCTTGGAGCGTCAACACAATATATTATGTCGCCCAAGCGTTGACATAATATATTATGTATGCGACAATATACTGTTACTTCGTGCCACAAGCCACTGACACTAATACCATATATACGCTTCAAGCTACTGACTTGAAACGTGCAGGGTGGTATGGCACTATTGCGTGTCGCATGTGCAACTCGGTGGTTCTGTTGGGGCGATAAGTTCTTCATCTGTGAACATACTCTTAAGCATGTCAAGTGTCCATGACTATTTATCATATCGCAACCTGCATAGGTATTTGCATTTCAATATCCCCTACTTTTTTTGAAGAGTATACGTGTATATCAAGGAACTTTGGGGTGAATTTCGGGCGTTGAAGTTCAGATTTACAGAAATGTTCATAGATTGTAAAATAATGTACATGTTAAAGCCAGACTAAACTTAGGTTGTCTGTCTACAGTTAACTCTGCTTGAGAACATTCGTCTAAAAAACCTTTTTCTGCTGAACATTATATGGGAGGGGAGGGGGGGTATGGAACCGGCCATGGAGCGATGATGATCATGTTGTATGTGGCCGGTGGCTTTAACGGGCTGCCACGCTATCTCTGGAGTCTGGGATGGGCTGGTATAATAGACTTTCTGAGCCGGGTGTGGGCCTTATACTCGAATATTCATTTTCTGAACTAATGCTATGTTCATTAATCAATATGTAGTGTGTCAAATGTTCAAGTTCGGGGTCAAGGTAAAATAATTTAACTGGAACAACAAATCCAAAATTCAAAAAGCATCTTTCATGAATTTCACCTTCGTCACTCGGTACCAATGTGTCTCGTGGCCTTCCATCACATGGGGAATCAACTAGCGCTCCCGGCAACAAAAATGGGACATTTTCCAATGACAATATGATTCAATGGTTAATCAAATGATCAAAATTTTCTAAACTAGTCCCATTTTTTTAACCAGTTAAATTCTCTTGACTCTTGACGATACAATGATAATACGTTAATTAATAATATGACGATATGATAATTTCACAGGTTGATGGTTGTAAATTACTTGTAGGTCGGGGTTTTGGCCTAAATTAATCGATTTATGAGATATATTATTTGACATAGATTATAATCAGACATGCCACCAAATCGCATATCTGGGGTTCATTTTTCAAAATTGTCCATGGGGAGAACCCCCGCCCCGCCCCCGTCCGGGCCCCGTGGTCATTAAACTGGGCTGCTCCGACACAGGAGAGAGAGAAATGGGGTTTAACGTCCACTCGACACAAACTAGGTCACTTCGGGACCAACATATGGTTTAATTTTATTTCAATAATTCGCTTGCGCGTAGGGGTCTTTAGCAGTGGAAGGAAACCGGAGGACCCGAGAAAAACCCACGAGGTTGGACAGGCGACCCTACTCCTTGTCACGTACAACCGGGGATTCGAAATTATTGAAATGAAATTGAACCATGTGTTAGTCCCGAATGACTCATATAAAAAAAAGTTTTTAATTAAGGTTATAATATTGTTTCCAGGTCTAAATTACAACGTGTATTAAAGGCAATAATTAGTAATTATATAACCTTATAAGCATTTATTTAATGGATTAAGTGACATAGCCAGAGAGAGAGAGATAGGGAGACTAACTCTTTGCACTAACTCTAAAATGAAATGAAATGGGCTTTAACGTCCTATTCTTCTGCACCGAGGCACTAACTCCAGTTATGCCACCGAGGGAATGATTATTGATTTATCTGCTAGTCTGATTTTAGGTTTTGAATTTATTGACATATTGGATATAGAAATGGCATGATTGATTAATTATGCAATATAAAATATTTTACAACTATTTTATCTCTTTCATATTCAATTTGTAAGTTTTTCTTAAAACCTTTTGTGTGCGTATTATACTTTCTTTTAGATTTTACATGTTAGACTACATTTTATTGGTCAATATTTCATTTATATACAGTTCCGGATTAACCTAGTAGCGTATCAACGGTAACATGTGCTGTAGGACCCGCATTTTCAAGTTCCGGGCATTAAGAGCTTCTGGTCTAACCCTATTACAATACCACTTTTACGCCTTCAACTTTTAGGAAATGTTTGCTTAAAAAATTAACACCTTCATTTGGGTTATTATTTTAACACACTAGTCAGTGGGAACGTGGTAACTATGTACATTTTAACACAGTAGTCAGTAGGAACTTAGTAACTATGTACATTTTAACATGGTTGTCATTGGTAACGTGGTAACTATGTACATTTTATCAAAGTTGCCATTGGTAACGTGGTAACTATGTACATTTTAACACAGTTGTCAGTAGGAACTTGGTAACTATGTACATTTTAACACAGTTGTCAGTGGTAATGTGGTAACTATGTACATTTTATCAGAGTTGGCATTGGTAACGTGGTAACTATGTACATTTTAACACCGTTGTCATTGGGACCGTGGTAACTATGTACATTTTAACACAGCAGTCAGTGGGAGCACGCGTGGGGATGTGATATTTATGTGAACCATATATATCACACAAAAATACAAATATTTGTGTGTTCTAATATCTGTGTTTATTTTATTTAAAGAAAGAGAGTCGCCCCCTTATATAACACATGTTACGAGGCCATTCACTAGCTTACATTCACTAGCTTAATTCGGATCTGGTGATATGATGAATGATTGAAAATTGACTCACGCCGACCATTTTGTAGTCATTTAAGGCATTTAATGTGATATTTTTGTACATAAATTACTGTAAATTTGTACGGTTGAAATTGATATAAATGATTTTAATGAACCAAAAAGAATGTTCTTAAATCTTCATTAATCCACCCCATTAAGATCCACTGGTGATTATCATTAATTAAGCTTGTAGACAATTTAAATTAAAATCCAGTGTCATCATTGATTCAGACAACATTAATTGAGATTCAGCCTTGATTCTTAATTGTCCCCCGCCTTTCGATGAAAGCAGGGGACTATTAAATGGGTTCGCCCGTCTGTTCTTGGAACACAATAACCCTCCTTTTAAATGAGCTAGAATGTTTAAACATGGTGTAGGTGTTTATTAGGTCGATGCCTTGAAGGAGTAGTTTCTGCTAGAGGTCAGCAGAGATAAGCAATTTGATTGGTTGATGCTTTGGGAAACAATAACTTTAGTTCTAAGTAAGTGAGAGTGTATAGTTTCAATACATCAATACCTTGACTAAGTTCGATAATGAACATTTTCTGCTCAGGGTAAGCAATTTGATTGGTCGAGACTTTGGAATACAATAACTCTCCTTCTAATTAAGTTTATCGGGATTTTCTGACGTGGTTTCCCCTTTCCCCTTGTCAGTGGTGCAGGACGGAGGTCCTGACAAGGACAACTGTCTAGTCGTTCGGATATTGCGTAAAAGAACCCTTGGCAGTTGGAATTCGATATAAGAGTAGGTCATAGCACCTCTGCCCGGGCAAAATTTCCCTCATAGAACACTGTATGGCGTATATGCCCGTCTTCATTAGCCCAGCTAGGAGCAGAACAGTAGGACGATAAACCCCATTTCGTTCCATTTCTAGGAAACACATCTAAGTTTATTTCCAGAAATCTGTTAAGCCATCTAACCTTCATGGTCCATGCTAACGGACCATTTAAGGCTACATATCTAACCTCTAAATAAATATATTAAACTTTCATGAAAATAATGCGTATTTGCTATGGCAACCATAGTCCACCATAAGAGAGAGAGAGAGAAATGGGGTTTAACGTCCACTCGACACAAACTAGGTCATTTCGGGACTAACATATGGTTTTAATTTTATTTCAATAATTCGCTTGCGCGTAGGGGTCTTTAGCAGTGGGAGGAAACCGGAGGACCCGGAGAAAACCCACGAGGTCGGACAGGCGACCCTACTCCTTGTCACGTACAACCGGGGATTCGAACCACGCCAGTCGACTCAGTGACAGACTTTATGATACAGCGCGCGCACGCTAACCATTCAGCCATCCAACCCCCCTAGTCCACCATAAACCTCTTCACCTTATGACCAATTTTAGGAAATATATATAATTCATTTCCAAGAAATTGTTTTGAACCTCTTCCAAATGAAATGAAATAGTGTTGATAAAAAAATGACCTACATAGTATATCCGAAAAAATATGTCGGTACACGAGAGACGCGATGGTCTGAGTGAGCACGACGTTGTCTCGCTAACCCGGAGCTCCTGTGTTCGGTATAGGAGAGACGCGATGGTCTCATTGAGCACGACGTTGTCTCGCTAACTGGAGCCCCTGTGTTCGGTATAGGAGAGACGCGATGGTCTGAGTGAGCACGACGTTGTCTCGCTAACTGGAGCCCCTGTGTTCGGTATAGGAGAGACGCGATGGTCTGAGTGAGCACGACGTTGTCTCGCTAACCTGGAGCTCCTGTGTTCGGTATAGGAGAGACGCGATGGTCTGAGTGAGCACGACGTTGTCTCGCTAACCTGGAGCTCCTGTGTTCGGTATAGGAGAGACGCGATGGTCTGAGTGAGCACGACATTGTCTCGCTAACCTGGAGCCCCTGTGTTCGATCCCGGCGTTGGCAGAGAAAGTTCATCAGGATATTTCCAGCGTGGTTCCCGCTTGTCAGTGGTGCAACACGGGGTGCTTGGCAAGGGACAATGTACAGTAATTCGGATGTGACGAAAAACCTAGGTCCCATGTACGCATTGGCGTGCACGTAAAAGAACACTTGACAGAATTCGAAATAAAGAGTTGGTCGTAGTGCCGCTGTCCAGGCAAAAATTTCTTCACTGCACACTGTACGGCGCATGGCCGTATTCAATAGCCCAGTCGGAGTTGAACAGTAGGATGTTAAACCAAATTTCATTTTATTTCATGACAGAAGACAGAGATACGATGGTCTTGAGTCAATAATGTACTGGCTTGTCACCCAGTAGGGTTTCCGAACCCTATGTTGGATATATTGCCACAATCCAGGCCATTTCGGGACTAACATATGGTCTAATTTTATTTTATTAATTCGCTGGCGCGTAGGGGTCTTTAACGGTGGGAGGAAACCGGAGGACCCGGGAAAACCCACGAGGTTAGATAGGCGACCCTACCCCTTGTCACGTACTGTCGGGGAATCGAAACCACGGCAGTTGACTCAATGCCAGACCTTATAATACAACGCGCACACGCTAACAATTCGGCCATCCACCCCCTATCCTAATACGACACCGATAGAAATGTGTTATTGTAGTACTATCGGACTTCTTTTTTTGTTGTGTTTGTTTCTTCGTGATCGCATTAACACTACAGAATAAATGGTTCTTACAACTTTATTTCTAAGCTGTAATGGCTTTGAAGGTTCCTCGTTCTCAATAATAATAGCTGCTTGGAATATCTGTTTTATAACCCCCTATTTTCTGCACATCTTAGCCTTGACGTTAATTTCCATCCCAAATATGGAATAAACCTCTTTATTTCACAAGACTAAAAGAGGAAACATTACATTTGGTCTACCGACCATAGATCAATTAACAGAGAATTTGATGAATATTTTGACAATGGTTATGATTTTACCAAAATATCACTGGGTTTTTTTTATGTATAACTATATATTCACGTTCATATCAAGTACGTGTAATTTGACTCTATAGACAGAGTGAAACAGCAATTTTTCAAAGAACCCAAATTGTCTTAAGGACCAAAGTGTTACATTATCTGAAAAAAGATTGAAACGTTTCTTTATTGTAAAATGTCTTTATTTTAACACACGAACAACCAATGGTATATTATCATTGTTTTGAGCAATATTTAATCAATAAACCAATCTAATTAAAATATAGATCTATATTTCGTTTCGTTACTTTATACACTACATGAAGATCTGACCAGTTGTAGTGGGAGGTCGCGTCACAGGTCAAACGAGCGGCTTTTGACCCTATGACGTCAGACTGCTTAATCAATTAGTGTTCCGTGCAGAGCACACCAAGAGCTTGCCGTAACAGACCGTTTCATTGGCGAATTGCTCACATCAACTAGAACGCTTGTTGTATAACAACTCTTCCAGATCCTAGTGGGTGTAGTAAAGACAAGTTAAACGAAATTTTGATCTATAAAAAATGAAACGAAATATGATCTGTATTTTAATCAGATTGTCAATAAATTAGCTAGGACCATTTTGTAGCACTACTATATGATGTATAGCGTGGAGACTCGGCATATCGTCCACTATACATCTGTAGAACAATAACCACACGTGTTAGGACAAGCATTTCGCATGGCAGTTATTCCACAGTTATTAATAAAAAGTGAACACCAGTCAGAATCTGTTCTATTGCATCCATCTCCTGTAAGATAAGAAGAGTCACCTTTAAAATACATACAATTTTTTAAAAGAATTTTGCCTCTTGAGATGGGATTTAACGTCCACTCAACACAAACTAGGTCATTTCGGGACTAACACATCGTCAAGTTTATTTCAATAATTCGCTTGCGCGTAGGGGTCTTTAACAGTGGGAGGAAACCGGAGGATCCGGAGAAAACCCACAAGGTTGGACAGGCGACCTCTTTAGATGATATAAACTTAAACATGCATTTTGCAAGAGCTAAATCTGTCTATTGCAGGTCTTTCTTTAGGCTCTAAATATTATCTAAATTATTAATTAGACATTAATTAACATATCCAGACGATAATCAACTCTCGATGTCATCACTAGCCTGCTATATTTACTGGATTTGAATACATTTTGTGATGGATGATTTAACATCAAAATGGACTATGTTTTTTTTATCGTACCGATTCCAGTAATGGTAAACGAGGTTAGGCCTAAAATTCAATCGCTAATATCTCAGTTTAGAGCCGAGCAATTTGACTGAAATTTCTAGCATATTTTCTTTACGTTATCTATTGTTTTAACCATTATAGCGAGAACTGTCAGCTCTTCATCTCATCTCCCATAATGACCCTTCAACTAATATTATGCTGACAGTATAATACGAAATCTCAAAACAAAACCTCTACAACAGATAAGGCCAATTATAATGATGTTTGCTGGTTATCAACTGGTGCAATTTACAGATCGTCTAATAGTAAGTGCAGGAGGACCGCACTACACACAAAACAAAAATCTACAAGATAAACCTGCGGACAAGACAGAAAATAGACATTGCACCAAATAAACAAATATCAAATCGAGTGAATGGGTCCGGTGGCCAGCCGTAAGCGCCCACTGCGCTGTGCAGTCCCGGGCCTGTACTGACACAGACTTCACTCAAATTTGAAAACAATCAGGAATACAAATGAAATGACCTCGATTTTTCGTCCCATCCGAACGACTAGACAGCTGTCCTTCAGGAATACAAAAAAAAGAGACGTAACAGAAATAATGCGACTAATCTTGACAGTGGTCGTCTCCTCAATTGCGATAGTCTGCCAGTTGACGCCATGAACGTCAAACAATTTTAACAATAAGGGCAGAAAGAGAAGAAACAAACTGTATACAACTGTAATCACGTCATTCGCCTCTTGACTTGTTACAACGGCACTGATTGCTGGTGGGATTGTGCATGACTTGTTTGTATCTTACAGACCCTTGTACTGAAGTCATTGGCTACTTTCTCGGAGTGTTGGACAATTTCACGATCTCGTGGGGGGGGGGGGGGATTGGAGATGAGCTGACTTTTGGAGTCCTTATCCGGAAAGCTCAATATTAAGTTTTCTCTCGGGAGTCGCTGCTTTCTGTATGGTTATATTTTTGAATATTTTATTCCCTGGTCGGAGGGCTCTAATGGCTGCGTATGTGTGCTATAGGATGGGTTTGAAATGGAGGCGGGCCCTGCCCTGAGAGAAAAAGATGGAGTTTTATGTCCACTCGACACAAACTAAGTCATTTTGGGACTAACACACATTGTTCAATTTTATTCCAATAATTGGCTTGCGCGTAGGGGTCTTTAGGAGTGGGAGGTAACCGGAGGACCTGGAGAAAACACACGAGGTTGGAAAGGCGACACTACTCCTTGCCAACCGGGAAATCGAAACCACGCCAGTTGACTCAATGACAGACCTTATGATACAGCGTGCACGTGCTAATCATTCGCCCCCCTATATAAAAAAGAAATGAAGTACAATATAAATAAATACCTTCACACAGCCCACATGTCCTTCTGCATATACCACTTATAATGGAACATTGTGCTAGACCTGATTCGCCAGGTAATACGAGATAGTAAGGACATGCGTTAGAGTCTTTTGCGTCACATGGATCAACTACATCTATAACAGAAGGATAATAAATTTACTTAAAGATACAGTTCTTTCTCTAGGCCTGAAATGTTATAAATTATTATTTATACATTTATTAATATGATAAGCCTATAATCAACTCTTTAGATCATCGGATGGTCGAGATGTAAATGGATTTGAACATCCGCCAGATTTAAAACATTTAATGATAAATTGGATAATCGAGCCTTAGTCCTGGTTTTCAAGTACCGTTGCTACGATAATAAACGATCTACACTATATCTTCAAACATTTTTGTAGTAAGAACGACCAGATTTTTATCTAAATTTTACATACTGAATCTTTAATAATTTACCCAAAGAGTATTCGTATTCGTGATAGCGTTGAGAATAACCATAGTGCCTATATCTAACAATGTCTTTTTCACAAACAATTAATTGTCTGTTTCACAGAATAACCATAGTGCCTATATCTAATAATGTGATTTTCACAAACAATTAATTGTCTATTTCACAGACTTTTTGTTTTGTTAAACGTACGTCAAAAATGAAGCCATTCTTGAGATATAATCGATTTTATGTCCCACCGTGGGTTTATGGCATCCATATAATGAAATGAAATGGGGCTTAACGTCTTACTGTTCTGCTCCGAACTGGGCTAATAAAGACGGGCATACGCTTGACAGTGTGCTTTGAGGGAAATTTTGTCCGGACAGCGGCACTACGGCCTACTCTTATTACATCGAATTCCAACTGTCAAGGGATCTTTTACGTGCACGCCAATGTGTACAGGGAACCTCGTTGTTCGTCCCATCCGAATGACAAAGGACAACCACGCCGGAAAATCTGGATGAACTTTCTCGGCCAATGCAGGGATCGAACACCCGACCTCCAGGCTAGAGAGCCAGAGTCTTCCCCACCGTGACCCCCGCATCCATATAATACGAGCAAAGAACAAATACAATCTTGTAGTTGGAACATAAAATGTTTTGAATCATTCTGATTAAAACACAGATCCTATTTCGTTTCGTTTTTATCGTTCAAAATTTTGTTTTACTTGTCTTTACTACATTATAACAACCTATAACATTAGGTTGTTATATAACCGGCGTTCTGGATGATATGAGGGATTAGCCAATGAAAAGGTCTGTTACGGCGAGTTCTTGGCCTTTTGATGCACGGAGCTGTGGGTAAACCACTATAAATGTCAACACTGATTGATTAATCAATGTTTCACGTCATAGGGTTAACAGTCGCTCGTTTGACCCCTGGCGTGAACTCCCACTATAACTTGTCAGATCTTTATGTAGTGTAGACCATCGAAAGTTAGTTTAAAATTGAAACGAAATATAGATCTGTATTTAATCAGATTGGATGTTTTTCTACTAGGCAATATCCAATTCCGCAATATGTGACAACATTACCCCACAATCTATGTAGTGCAAACTGAAATTACCACTGATATAGGGATCGAAGGCAAGATACTTACTTTCACATCTATCACCCGAATAATTTGGTGGACAATTACATTTACAATTAGTAGCATCAATATCACCATTCACACAAACCAAGTCACATGTTAGAGCTGAATATAAAACAATATTTGAAAATCTGAATTGTAAGACTGTAATAATTGTAATGGATTACCAAAACTGTTACAGTTTTCCTGCTTTGGATCGGTTCAGGTTTAACTTCATATCATACTTTTATTCTTATTCAAACTTGTCATGTACAAGACTTCATATAGTTAAAGACTCCTTTAACTTGGCTCGGCTCCCTTGGGTGCCAACTCCCAACTACCTTACATAGTCGCTGCCTGGTCTTAACTAACTTTCTATCAATTAGACCCCTGCTTATAATTCCTTTCTAGACAAAGGATGATCAAAGAGATTATGCAGCTGGCTATATTGCATCATAGCAGATTAAACGTTCAGTGTAGATTACTTTACAAAACAAAGGACATTACATAAGATGGGCTAGCTATAAGTTTATATTATGGTGAATACCCAATCGAAATTAGTGACGAAATAAACAGGGTATTACATGAAGGCCTTGATAAGATGTGCGGAGTTAACATGAGATCAAACCGTATTACCATGGGAATACTAGATACTTTGGCTAGTTCCGTTTGTAAATTTCCACCATTCCATTAGCCCAGTTGACGCCGAACAGTCGGGTGTTAAATTCCGTGTCATTTCATTTCATTTGTCCACACACGACATTATTATCAACATGAATATTCTTGGACCATAAAACTGAAGACATAGAGAAATTTCCCCCAAAGGTTGTTAAGCACCATTTTAAGCTGTAAAGTAATCCTTTGATTGTATATCATTTTATAAATGGCGTCCTATCCAATCTTCTGTTGATTATAAAAGGTTTTGAACACGATCGGTACTTACTTGGAATATCACAAAATTGTCCAGTATAACCGTTTGAACATACACACGAACATTCATCATAGTCAAATACACCATTTATACCACATGCTTCAACAGGACATATTCCTGAAACAAAATTAGATGCAGTGTTACAGTTATAAGTGTTTAACGGTGTACCACTAGTAATAAGGTGTCTTTTTCCAGGCGATCGTCATTATACCACCCTGTGCTCTCTCTCCCATACACTTATACCAACAGCAGCCACGACAGCAATAAAAACGCAATTTATGCTACAATTTAAACACAACAGCAACCACGCCACCCTGTCCTGCCACCCATACTAAATGTTTAATATCATTATCATATGAGTTTGATAAAAACTCAATTATAAAACAATTTGTGTACCGAGATACTGTTTCATAAATGTTTGTTATTTTTAACCACTTATTCTACGTATTAGCTGTAGAAAACGATTACGCTTAGTAGCCGTTATCATGAAGTCTGTCCGCTGGGTTGATCCCAGTTTATAAATGCAACAAAGGGATCCAGAATTTCGAGAGGGCTCCTGTGTCTCAAAGCTGTAGGGTGTTTTTGAAATGCCTATGCCACACAATGTGCTATGAGAAAGTTTCGTTTAGAAAGCGGAGTTTGCGCCTGATTTGTTTTTGAAATCCAACTTCGAAAATCGGAGTGGTGAGAACAAGTCTTCTGGGAATTATATCTATTGGTTATAAAATAAAAACTGTGATATGTCCTATTTTTGATGAAGTCAGTAAATGTGACCTACGTGTTTGACATGTATCACCGACGTAACCTTGGTTACACTGACAGGAACAGTTGTTGGTATTCAAAATTCCATGCGGTGAACATGAATCCACTTGTTTATTACACGAAGCTTAAAAAATAGAACAAAAGCAATAAGCAATACACACAGACATGATATTATCCAAACTCACCAGCAGTATATATTCGCATAGCCGCTACAATCACTGAAACAGATGACATCACGGTGAACACAGGGGCGTAAATGTGGGGGGGGGGGGGTCCCAGGAAAAAAAATAGTCGGTCGCAAAATCAGTGCAGTCGGTCGCAAAATAAGATCAGTCGCAAAGTCAGTACAGTCTGTCGCAAAATAAGAGCAGTCGGTATCAAAATAAGTGCTGACTGCACACGTCACGCTACTCACGCAAAACTTTAGTATAAATAACCTTGTCAACTTAATGTGTTTCACTCTTATTCTTTTGTGAGTATGTAGGTCTAAGAACAAAATTTCCCCCAGGGAGAAAAAATAGTCGGTCTCAAAATAAGTGCAGTCACTGCAGTCGGTCTCAAAATTATGCATTGCCGTCTTAATGAATTAATGAGGTAAACTAATAATGCCAGAATAGATCCCAAATACTACTCGGTCGCAAAATCAGTGCATTCGGTCGTACGATATGAGCAGTCGGTATCAAAATAAATGCTCACTGCACACGTCACTCTACTCACGCAAAACTTTAGTATAAAATAACCTTGTCGACTTATCATGTTTGAAAAAAATGTTTTTCACCCCATGGCAAAAAAATAGTCGGTTTCAATTCCATTATGCCATCATTCTTCAACTCCTTCTCTGACTTTTACTATCTCATCACTATCATATTCACAGTTACAGTGAATCGCCCAGTTAGTAGTACCACTAGTGAGTGAGTCGTGGGTCAAAAGACTGTAGAATTGTTAGTTCTACTCTCACAAAACAGGCGACATTGACAGATAGTCCTCAAGATTCTGTCCCATTTCTTATCCTCTCGTTAACGAGAATTTGGATCCATTTGCCATGACATTGACTAAAATTGTCAGGCCCAGTCCCAAAAATTAAAAGCTCGGTTACACATCTCAAATTTTTTCGCGTCTGCGGCGCTCGATTCCATTATAACATCATTCTTCCACTCCTCTGTTGTCTTATACTGTCTCAGCACTATCATATTCACGGTTATACTGAACTGCCTAGTTATGTTAGTAGTACCACTGGCACTGTTGTGTGGGTCGTGGGGCGTCAGACTATACAAAAGTTCTGTCAACTCTTGCAAAACAGGCGGAATTGACAGGGGGCAGATCTCGAGATTTTGTCTAATTGACTCACATTTCTGGCCCAGCAATGACCTCAAATGCCAAGATATTGACTCAATTTTTCAAAATTTTCTCAGGTTGCTCAGTGTTATAGGCACAATCATATATGACATAAACTTTATGTCAACGTAAATAAAACTGCTTTCCAGCGAGACAACGATCGGCAAACAACTATATGATTATACAATACCATCTATGTTCTACCGGGACGCTTAATGTTATAGCCAGAATTTTGTTGACATTCATTGTGGGGTGGGATTGTGGCTGAGGTGGCGCCCTAGATTTGGAACCCACTCCCACCCCTATCTAGATCCGCTACTTCACATGTGCCCTACAAAACTCGCCCCTGTGGTGCTCGGTTCCTGACTGCGTCACTCGTACTAGGGGTATGGGCATCAGTCGGTCGCATTTTCGCTAAACACCCCCCCCCCCCCCCAAACAAAATCGTTATGTACGCCCCTGGGTGAACAGACATACAGACAGACAGACAAACAAACGACAGTCGCAAATAATAGAACAGAATAGCTAGATGTAGTAATGATGAAGAATATAACAAATTAGAAGAAATATAAATGAAGTAATATAACTAACGTGTGGTACAGAATTCACCAGTGTAGCCACCAAAACAAACACAGGAACACGATGTTATATTGAGAAAACCATTAGCACCACAGGCTTGAGGCTGTACAGTACACGTTGTGGGTGCTATTTCATTAATAAAAACACAGAATAAAATATTCTTTTTAACAACAAATTGAGAAAACGTTACAGCAACCAATATTTGCAAAGATTATTTCAAACATACAACAATGTAACCACAATGTACCAACTGTGCCCCTTTATTTGCTTCTCTATCGTCCTCTTTAATCCTGCGTATCAGACTTCATACAAGAAAACACTCAACAACTCTTACAGGGAAAAGACAACCGGTAGATACAAGATATTCCAAAACTCACAGACAGAGCCGAGATTATGGTCAAATATTCTATACATTTAATCAAAAACTTTACAAAGAATATTATTGCATCGACATTCCATATCCATTCCTTTAATTCTTTGATCGCCATATTCATTCCTTTAAAGACTCTGGTCGCCATATCCATTCCTTTAAAACTTCTGGTCGCCACGTACATTCCTTTAAAGCCATTAGTCCCCATATACACACCCCTTATTAAAACACATCCCTTTAATGTTACCGATCACGTATCCATTAATTGATGTTAAAATTTACTAAAACCTACCCGTGGTACAGAATTCACCAGTATAGCCACCAAAACAAACACAGGAACATGATGTTGTATCTAGGAAACCATTAGAACCACAGACCTGGGGTTGCACATTGCACGTTGAAGGTCCTATTTACAGAAAAAACAAAACAAATTCAAGGGTTTATTTTCTTAAGGTCACAAAACTGATTGTCTAGTCTGACATATGATTGGCGAAACAATCCCACATGACGTAGTCAAATTTCAGAGAGAGAGAGAGAGAGAGAGAGAGAGAGAGGGAGAGAGAGAGAGATGTGGTTTAACGTCGACTCGACACAAACCAGGTCATTTCGAGATGGTTTAATTTTATTTTTTAATATTTCACTTGCGCGAAGGTGTCTTTAGTAGTGGGAGGCAACCGGAGGACCCGAAGAAAACCCACGAGGTTGGACAGGCGACCTAACTCCTTGTCACGTACAAACGGGGATTCGAAACCACGCCAGTTGACTCAATGACAGGCCTTATGATATAGCGCGCACATGCTAACCATTCGGCTATCCCCCCCCCCCCAAATTTCAGAGAGAAAAAAACACGGAGCGAAAAGGTCGTCAAGAAGCAAAATTTGACTGTATCGTGACCTTTTCCCCAGTGTCGTTTTCATTTCTGAAATTTGACTGTATCGTAACCCAAAGATCTCGGTTCCTTTCACCGTTACATCCTAAGGAAGGCTGAATTCGAATTTCGTGAAAATCGGCCCAAAATTGACAGACAAAATGGTTGCCCTAGGGGACAAGATCGTGATACAATTAAATTTAAGAGATCAAACAACGATATAACAAAGGGTCCGATGCTGTCAAGATGACTTCTTTATAACTTTTTCCCCGTCTGGGTTTCTCTCTGAAAAGGTCACGAAGACGCAAAATTGTCAGAGAGAAAACCACGATATAGTCACGATACAGAGATTTTACAACCAAAGATCAATCCACATGGAAAAAGGAGGAGGATGTACCCAAACATTAGAGAGAAGTTTACGGTGCAGCCAAACGTTAGAGAGAACACAGCGTTAGGAGAAGCTCACGGTGCAGCCAAACGTTAGAGAGAACACAGCGTTATGAGAAGCTCACGGTGTAGCCAAACGTTAGAGATAACACAGCGTTAGGAGAAGCTCACGATGCAGCCAAACCAAAACATAAAACCACACGGGGAAATATGAAACCGATTAGTTGTTTTTTAAGTTAGTTTGTCCAAATGACATTGAAGTCAGATATACAGAGCCGTGTGTATTTGGGCACTCTATTGTGATTTAACAAATCTAAAACCTACCCGTGGTACAGAATTCACCAGTATAGCCACCAAAACAAACACAGGAACATGATGTTATATTTAGGAAACCATTAGAACCACAAACTTGAGGTTGTACATTACACGTCGGTGTTGGGGCTATTTACAGAAAAACAAAACAACATGGAAATCGGGCAGATATTACTGATAGTATGGGGTTTAACGTCCACTCGACATAAACCAGGTCATTTCGGGAATAACACATGGTTTCAATTTTATTTCAATAATTCGCTTGCGCGTAGGGGTCTTTAGCAGTGGGAGGAAACCGGAGGACCCGGAGAAAAACCACGAGGCTGGACAGACCACCCTACTCCTTGTCACGTACAACCAGGGAATCGAAACCACGCCCGTTTGACTCAATGACAGACTTTATGGTACAACGACTATCCAACCTTCCATTTGAATTGGAAGAAAATCTCCCAACTTTTGAAAGCGTCCATCCAAACCGACCGATTATGTTATAAAAGTATAGTCCTTGGCATGACAAAATAATTTCTTTACATGAATTATTCGAGCCACGAGTTGATTTTTGTCATTTGGCATCTATGTCCCTATATCATTTGAAAAGAAAACCCCAAACCAACTTACGACGTTGACACCGTTTCAATGGCATAGTAAACTTACGCGTATCACAAAAACCCAATTTATTATCGGGTAACTACATTTTTAAAATCATAAAGTAAACATACACGTATCATAATATAATACCGGGTAACTACTTTGTTTATAATAAACTTACGCGTATCACAAAAAGTTCCGGAATATCCATTAATACAATTACAGGTGCAGCTATTGCTGTCCAGGTTTCCTAAATTACCACAAGATGTCCCCGTCAGACCACATGGTGCTGTAAATAAAAAAAAAACACCCTCCTATATCCTGTACAGAAATAGAGCGACAAAAGTTTAGGGTTTGAAAAAAGGGACAATTTTCATTATAAGTTTGGCATCCAGGTCCATTTTTATTTTAAATCTATTAAACAGGCATTATATATGTAAGAGCTAAATCTAGCTATTGCAGGTCTTTTTTTCTTGTGGCCCTAAATGTTAAATAAATTATTAATTAGACATTTATCAACATCTCTCGATGCCATCGGATTGCTCCAATTTAAAGTAGATTCGAACGGTTCGGCCATTTAATGATTTAATTTAAAATTGGAGAAGCGAGGTTCGGAATCGAATGACCAGTACGGTGGTTACGATCAATGCATATATCTTGTCAAAACTAAGAACATTGATAACTTCGCTCAAAATAAAATAATTTGAATGAAATTTTCATTAATAAAAACACAGAATAAAAGATTTTGTTTAAAAGCAACAAAACCTTACAACAACCAATATTTGCCAAGATTCTTTCAAACATATAGCAATGTAACAGGTATTGCTATTCGCACGATCAAAGAGACAGTTAGAGAAGCAAATAAAGGAGCACAGTTGGTATCCATTAGACTTCATACTCACAATCAGTCTTACAAGGGAAAGATAATCGGTAGACACAACACAAACACGAGCAGTGTGTGAAGATATTCCAAAATACACAGACTGATCGCCATATCCATTCCTTTAAAACCTCTGATCGGCACATCCATTCCTTTAAAAAATCTGGTCGCCACATCCATTCCTTTAAAGACTCTGGTCGCCACATACACCCTTTAAAGCCATTAGTCCCCATATACACACCCCTTATTAAAACACATTCCTTTAATGTTACCGATCATATATCCTTAATTAATGTTAAAATTTACTAAAACCTACCCGTGGTACAGAATTCACCAGAATAACCACCAAAACAAACACAGGAACATGATGTTGTATCTAGCAAACCATTAGAACTACAGACCTGGGGTTGCACATTACACGTTGATGGTCCTATTTACAGAAAAAACAAAACAAATTCGAAGGTTTATTTACTTAAGGTCAGGGGGAATAACTACACATAAAACTGATAGGCTAGTCTGACATGATTGGCGAAACAATCTCACACGACCTAATCAAATTTCAGAGAGAAAATAATACGGGAGGAAAAGGTCGCCAAGAGGCAAAATATGACTGTATCGTGCGTGATCTTTTCCCCAGTAAGGTTTTCTCCTTCTGAAATTTGACTGTATCGTGACCTTTGCCCCAGTAAGGTTTTAATTTCTGAAATAGGGCTGTATCGTGACCTTTTCCCCAGTAAGTTTTTCTTCTTCTGAAATTTGACTGTAGGCCTATCGTAACCTTTTCGCCAGCGTGGTTTGCTCTCGGAACATTTGGCTTCTTCGTGACCTTTTCGCCATGTGAGTGGGGTTCTCTCTGAAAATGTCGCCAAGAAGTCAAATTTGTAAAGAGAAAACCACACTGGCGAAAAGGGCCTGATACAGTCAAATTTAAGAGATCAAACAACGATGTAACAAAGGGTACGATGATGTCAAGGTGGCTTCTTCGTACTTTTCCCGTGTGGCTTTCTCTCTGAAAAGGTCACGAAGACGCCAAATTGTCAAAGAGAAAACCACTCTGGGGAAAACGTCATAATACAGTCACGATTATACAACCAGAGATCAAACCACACGGGAAAAGGAGGAGGATGTACCCAAACATTAGAGAGAACACAACGTTAGGAGAAGCTCACAATGTAGCCAGACGTTAGAGAGAGCACAGCGTTATGAGAAGCTCATGGGGTAGCCAAATCCAAGACATAAAACCAAACGGGGAAATACAAGAACCGAGGAACCGTTGTAGTAATATTGTCGTTGCGAAATTGTTTTCAATTTATAGGCAAGGAATAGAGAAATAAGATGGCATTATATTGTATTAATTAATGATTTGGCAAGTTAGTAGATTCAAACATATTCACATATATGTTAACAAAAATGACATATTGTTATATAAAAAAGAGTTTTAGAACCAAAACATAGCTGGTTCTGTATGTCAACAACCTGATAACAGATATCTCATGGGAAGTTTCTCCAGTAAATTTCCCTTTAACCATATAAGGTTGGGTTTCAACGTCATGTGACTTAATTAACCAATAGCTATAATTATTTACATCATATTTGACCAATTAGATAATTGAACGTCCAAAACCCATAGCTACAAAACTATCATACTTGTGAGAAATCGTTAGACAGCAGCTTGATTCCAGAAGGAGAAAGATGTAGCAATTTCTATCAGCAGACTAGCCCATATCGAGTCTGGCTGGCTAGGGTTTGCGAATGACTTTAGTATTCTAATCTATACTATGTTTGTATCTATGTATCCGGCTATGCTATATAAAATGTAAAAACGAACTGTTGCATTGTTATAACTACTGAGAAAACAAACGTCTTATGAAAACTGTAAGAAGTAAATACACAACGTGAAGCAGAAGCAAAGACAGCTAGAGACTAATTCTAGACGATCACAAGGCTACTAAGATATGTAGTAAGAAAAGATGCATGGGTCATACGTAGGATGTGGCGACCGGTCCGCAAACTCCCGCTCTCCACGTCAGACAGAAATGCCCATGGTGCTACACCGTGTACACATTGACAGTTCGATATAAGAGTAAGCTATAGCGCCGCTGTCCGTGCAAACAAAAATTCTCCAATAGCACACTGTATGGCGTATGCCCGTCTTCATTAGCGCAGTCGATGCAGAATGGTAGGACGTCTAACCCCATTTTATTTCATTTCATTTCATTTCATTAAAAATAGCAATATATCCAATAATGTTAAATTATATACTGATACCTACCCGTGGTACAGAATTCACCAGTATAGCCATTTAAACAAACACAGGAACATGATGTTATATTGAGAAAACCATTTGAACCACAGACCTGGGGTTGTACGGTACACGTCGGTGTCGGAGCTATTTACAGAAAAATAAAACAACATGGAGATAGGGTATATATAAATATTGAAATTTTATATACATCAATATTAAAGACTATATGCATCACTTTAAACAATAGGAATCCCTTGTATTGCGAAGATGAATCTCTGATGGGAATATCAGTCCAAAATGGCTCAACTCCGTTTAATATTTACAAAATTATGTTGGACTGAATATTCATAGATCTATTTTGCTGTGGGCGAACAGGGCCCTGTTTCTCGAAATCTTAAATAAAGTTAAAATCCAAATTTTAGTAGATAGTTAAATTTTGATTGGCTAAGCACTAAAATCAATCTAATATTATCCAATCAAATTACTAAAATTTGGATTATATTTTAGTTAAAATTTCGTGAAACAGGCCCCAGAAATGATAGGCCTTTTTAAAACCCAGCTGAATCCAAGCAATTGGTATTTTTGATAACATTTTCTAAACTAAATGTTAAATGATCATATCAGTGTCGATTAATCAGTGAGAAATTTGATAATTAGTGAAAAATGCATATAACGCATGGTTATTGTTTAAAATTATCATATATTATATGATACACAATTCAATTGTTATTTACTCGAGTTTCACCTTAAAATGAATATAACGTACGACATATTAGTTGGTCTTAAAGGAGTCATTAATATTCCTTAAAGATACATTATGGGAGATAAGATAAAGAGATGGCAGTTCTCGCTATAATAGTTAAAAACTAGATAGTGTAAAGGTAATTTGCTGAAAATTTCAGTCAAATTGATCCACTATGAGCCGAGAAAGAAGCCGGTGAAATTTTTGCAGAGTCTCGGTTATCATTACTAAAATCATTAATATAAACAGCATAGTCTCGATTATCCACTTTTTCTGATTTAATTATCTTTGGCCGTTAGCGGCATATATGAATCTAATCCAGCCTACATCGAAGGCTAGCCTTGACATCGAGAGTTTATTATGGTCTGGATAAGTTAATTAATGTCTAATTGATAATTTAGATAACATTTCAGGCCTAAAGAAAGACTTGTAATAAGCAGATTTTGCTCTTGCATAATGCATGTTTAAGTCTCTAAGTCAATATTTTCCATAATATTTGAAATTAAAAACACAAATTAGAATTCAATATTGGTCCATTTCAATCCATATTGATGTTGTTACGTTGCCGTGAAAATGTCGGATCCTAATATCCAATATTTAAGACACGATGAACAAAGAAAAACATATACTTTATTACAATACGTCAGTAAATAGTAATGCCTGATTCACAAATCATAAAATAATAAATAGACGTTAACGATTGTCGTTCAGTTTGGACTGTTCGCGAACTCTATTGTGCTTTTACAAAGCTAAAACCTACCCGTGGTACAGAATTCACCAGTATAGCCATTTAAACAAACACAGGAACATGGTGTTATATTTAGGAAACCATTAGGACCACAGGCCTGGGGTTGTACATTACACGTCGGTGTCGGAGCTGTTTACAGAAAAACAAAACAACATGAAAATCGGGCAGATATCACTGATGGTGCCTGTGCATACAATCTGATTAAAGTACAGATCTATATTTCGTATCGTTCTTTTTATACTTTCGATGGCCTACACTACATGAAGACCTGACCGGTTGTAGTAGGAGGTCGCGACAGGGGTCGTAGGAGGTCGCGTCAGTGGTCATACGAGCGGCTTTTGACCCAATGATGTCAGACATTGATTAATTAATCAGTGTTGACGTTTCTAGTGGTTTACCCGCAGTTCCGTCAACCGCATGCCAAGAACTGGCCGTAACAGACCTTTTCATTGGCTAATCCCTCACACTAACTAGAACGCCGGTTATAGAACAACAAGTAAAACGACATTTTCAACTATAAAAAAACGAAACAAAATAGCACATGTGTTTAATCAGGTTGATGTGCACATTTCTGTTTTATAGCAAAATTTGGTATGGTATATAATTATCCTGGATCTATATGTTTAGACACGTAGACAGAGTTTGGGTAACATCCCCCAGATCAAGTGCAGATGTTTTCAATACATCCCAAATACATACACCACACATCCAATGTTGACGATAAGGTACTTTGATTTAGGGTTTTCTATAACGACAGTGGGGTTAAATATCAACAAAAGCCTCCCCCTATCCCCAAAAGCTGCTTTACCCAAATGTGGTTAAATGGGTTTAACTTTAAAAGTAAGTTGGAGATGTAGTTGGTTTTTGTGTCTAAAACAGAAAGGGAAATGGGGTTAACGTACACTCGACACAAATTATAGGTCATTTCGGGACGAACATATGGTTCAATATTATTTCAATAATTTGCTTGCACGTAGGGGTCTTTAGCAGTGGCAGGAAAGCGGGGGACCCTGAGCCAGGCGACCCTACTCCTTGTCATGTACAACCGGGGAATCGAAACCACGCCAATTGACTCAATAACAGACCTTATGATACAACGCGTATGTGCTAATGCTAGTTTGATACTTGTCTATTCAGTGCAACCATACTCAAATTTTACGGCCCGAGACCCCACGACTCCCGATCCATTTCAGAGAGAGAAAACCGGATCACGATGTGGCCAGATTTCAGAGATAATAAATAAAGCTAATACAATTTTACCAATTTGACAGAATTGTCCAGTGTATCCTTGGTTACAAGAGCACGTGCATGTATCCTGTACTAAAGCACCAAATGGTGTACATGCTGTTGGTGATAAATCACATGGTGCTAAAATAAATTTATTCATAAATTACTCTTGTCCCGAATTGAAAGGATGCTATAACAACAGTGCCACCGGTTCAATCTGATTAAAACACAGATCCTATTTCGTTTCGTTTTTATAGTTCAAAATTTCGTTTTACTTGTGTTTACTTCACTAGGATCTGGAAGAATTGTTATCATTGACGTGTTCTGAATGGTTTGAGGTATTAGCCACTGAAATAGTCTGTTACGACGAGCTTTAGGCGTGTTTTGCACGGAACTGTGTGTAATCCACTAGTAAAATTAATTCTGATTGGTTAATCAAATGTCTGACGTCATAAGTTGCTCGTATGACCTCTGACTTGACCTATCGCAACAACCTGTCAGATCTTCATGTAGTAGAAGTCATCGAAAGTATAAAAAAACAAAACGAAATATAGATCTGTATTTTGATCAGATTGCCACAGGTTTCAAATTGGAAGAAAATCTCCCAACTTTTGAAAGCGCCCATTGCAACCGACCATTTATGTTATAAACGTGTAGTCCTTTGAATAATTTATTTACATGAATTATTCGAGGCATGAGTTAATTTTTGTCATTTGGCATCTATGTCCCCTTATCATTTGAAAAAAAAAACCCAAACCAACTTACGATGTTGACACCGTTTAAATGGCATAGTAAACTTACGCGTATCACATAAACCCAATTTATTATCGGGTTACTACTTTTTTAAAATCATATAGTAAACATACGCGTATCATAATATAATACCGGGTAACTAATGTGTTTACAATAAACTTACGCGTATCACAAAAAGTTCCGGAATATTCATTAATACAATTACAGGTGCAGCTATTGCTGTCCAGGTTTCCAAAATTACAAGATGTCCCCGTCAGACCACATGGTGCTGTAAATAAAAAAAACATCCTTCACTATAGATCGAAAAAAGTTTAGAGACTGAAACAAAGACACATTTTGGATTTAAAAAAAAAACCTCATAAGTTTGGCATCCAGGTCCATTTTTATTTTAATCTATTAAGCAAGGCATTATGTAAGAGCTAAATCTGCCTATTGCAGGCCTTAAATGTTATACAAACTATTAATTAGACATGTATTAACATGACAAGACCTTATTCATCCATCGATGCCATCGGATGTTTCCGATTTTAAGTAGATTCGAACAGTTCGGTCATTTAATGATTTAAGTTAAAATTGGAGAGGCGAGGCCAATACTCGAATGACCAGTACGGTGGCTACGATCAATGCATACATCTTGTCAAAACTACAAACATTGACTACTTCGCTAAAACTATGGTATTTTTCAATATTTTTTATTTTGCATTATCTTTTATTGAAATAGTATAGAGAGAATTGTCAGCTCTTTATGTCAGTCTTACATAATGTATCTTTTAGTAAATGTCTAGAAATCCACATATAAAATGAGAAGTCATGGGATATCATTTTACATCATGCTACATGATAAATTACTAATCGTAATAATTTCTATGCATTACTTCGGAAGTCAAAAGTTTTGCGATTGAAATAAAATAACTTTTATCATTTGGATTTGAAAACAATACATATCAGATTGACATCCAGATGCCTGTTTATTTAAAAAATAAATCAACTTACGATTTTGGCATCTGTCTCCAGCATAACCAGAAAAACAAATACACGAACAGGAAGTGGTGTTTAAAGTACCAGTACCACAATCATTGGATGCTAAATTACACGGTGCTACAAGTAATATAATACATCCTTTATTACACGGCACTACAAGTAATATAATACACCCTTTATTACACAGTGCTACAAGTAATATAAGACAGGTTTACCTTTATTACACGGCGCAATCATAAATATAATACACCCGTTATTACACGGTGCTACAAGTAATACAGTACACCCTTTATTACCCGGTGCTACAAGTAATATAATACACCCGTTATTACACGGTGCTACAAGTAATATAGTACACCCGTTATTACACGTTGCTACAAGTAATATAATACATCCTTCATTACAAGGTACTACAAGTAATATAAGACATCCTTTATTACACGGAGCTACAAGTAATATAATACACCCTTTATTACACGGCACTACAAGTAATATAAGACAAGGTTACCTTTAATTACACGGTGCTGCAGGTAATATAAAGATAATCTAACCCCACTACACTGTGCTGCTTGACACAATGACATACCTTATGATCTAAAGCGCACGTGTTAGACCAACCGCCCACACAATACCCCGGTTAATCCTGTGTAGACGGCTCAAAGTAATATTTATTCTAGGCCCAAACAACTACCTGAAACTCGATGACACGTTATTAAACCAGATAGTAAACGTACGCGTATCACAAAAATGAAATGCCGCGTGGTTTACCCTTGTCAGTGGAGATGGGCAGTTTCTGACAAGGACAGTATCTCGTCATTCGGGTGGAACAAAAAACCAAGGTCCCGTATACACATTGGTGTGCACGTAAAAAGGTCCTTAATAGTTAGAATTCGAAACCAGAGTACGTCGTAGTACTGCTGTCCGGACAAAATTTCCCCATAGCACCCTGTATGCCATAGGTGCGTCGTTGGAGCCACGGTGGTTAAGTGGGAAGACGCTGGCTCGCTAGCCTGGAGGTCGCGGGTTCGCTCCCAGTGTTGGTCGAGACAGTTCCTCGGGCTTTTCCGGCGTGGTTTCCCACGTCTGTGTTGCAGGGCGGAAGACTTGACAAGGACAGCTGTCTAGTCGTTTGGATGGTATGAAAAACCGAGGTCCTGTGTACACATTGGCGTGCACATAAAACATCCATTGGCAGTTGGAAGAGTAGGCTGTAGCGCCCCTGTTAGGGCAACACTTCCCCCATAGCTCATTGCATGGCGTATGCCCGTCTTAATTAGCGAAGTCGGAGCAGAACAGTAGGACGTTAAATCCCATTTCAGTTCACGTCGTCATTTTCACATTCGGTTAAACCTCTTTGCAATTCAATTCAAAATTTACTATCTGAACCTTTGTGTCTGATTCCTTTCAATGAAGTTCTGAAATTAGTAATTAAATATCGGTACCTACTTTATTAAACAAGATAGTACCTAATACGTATCATGAAAACCCAATTTAATAAACTTACGCGTATCACAAAGAGTTCCGGAATATCCATTAACACAATTACAGGTGCAGCTATTGCAATAAAAACAAGTGACATCCATTTCAGTTAAATTAAAAGTAAGTTAAATTTGGTGTCCACGCTGCCCACGTGCATTAAAAATAACCTGGAAGCCTCGGTGACTCAGTGAGTAAGACCCTGGCTCACTAAGCTGGAGGTCCAAGATTCAATCCCGGTGTTGGCCTCGAATTTTTCCGGCATGGTTCCCTCTTGTAAGTGATGCAAGGCAGAGGGCCTGTCAAGGACAGTGCCTAGGCGTTCGGATTGGACGAAAAATCCGTGTCCCGTGTACACATTGGAGTAAAATTTCCCCGATAGCACACTGTATAGCAATGTGTCACTGTTCATTAGCTCGTAAGGTACAGAAACGAGTTTTACCTATGGGTTCCACGTCGGTCGTATATGCCGGTCAAGACCGAGGACTATGGAAAATGGCGGTAGTAAGATCTGACCCATCGGTCATTTTCCACGCCGGTAAAATAGCCTTTTTTTTCAAAACAGAATTTTCAAACATGGCTACGATCGACCTCCAATATGTAACTATAAAATTATACGACCAGTACAGCATAATGCACACGTATAGAAGAAATATAATCTCGTGATTGGAGTTATAGATTTGTGCACAGAGTCGTGTTTACAATTAATGATGAATATCTAGTAGTAGAACAAAACAAGTTAATTGATATGGGGGAATCTTATCAATGGCGTGAAGCGGTCCATTGCTAATCATTCATTATTGGAACGCCCACGTATTGTCCACGTATCATCACCCTTAACATGAACGAGTCACCCCATTCACTCATCTACACTAATATCTAGATACAAGAAAATATATAATATAACTTACGTATTTTACATTGTGTACCAGAATATCCCTCAAAACAAACACAAGAACACAAATCAGTAAGAAGCTGGCCCTTTACACCACAATAACTCGAGGGTAAATTACAAATCTCTGAAAGTAGAGAAACAAAATCAATTGAAATATACCTCTTATTTGCAAGTTAAAACCGTGGATTTCGATTAATTAATGTTCAATTGTATACTAGACCAGTCTGTACATCATACTTGTGATCAACATTCTGTACTGAACTAATTTATAAGTTAAGGCAATATTATAGACAACAATTATAGACATTTAGAACAACCATAAAAGTTGTTTCATTCAGAACAACCATAGAATTTTTTTTTTATTCAGGACAACCAAAGAAGTTGTTTTTATTCAGGACAATCATAAAAGTTGTTTTATTCAGGACAACCATAAAAGTTTTTTTTTTTATTCAGGACAACCATAAAAGTTGTTTTATTCAGGACAACTATAATAGTTGTTTTATTCAGGACAACCGTAAAAGTTGTTTTATTCAGGACAACCATAAAAGTTGTTTTATTCGGGACAACCATAAAGTTGTTTTATCCAGGACAACCATAACAGTTGTTTTATTCAGGAGAACTATAATAGTTGTTTTATTCAGGAGAACTATAAAGTTGTTTTATTCAGGACAATCATAAAAGTTGTTTTATTCAGGACAACCATAAAGGTTGTTTTATCCAGGAGAACCATAAAATCTGTTTTATTCAGGACAACCATTACAGTTGTTTTATTCAGGAGAACTATAATAGTTGTTTTATTCGGGAAAGGGCATCTGTCGGTGATTTGTCCGATCAATATCTGATTGGGTCCTGGTGACGACTTGTTGGGAAGTGAAAAAAGCTGTTCATGACTTTTTATCACAAGTTACAAAAATGCGCCAGCCTGATTTAAACTCCTATTGCGTTTCGTATCATATAGCCAAATTTACATTTCATTTGTTGCCATGACTACGACCTGAAAGAGTTTTGATGGTTTGATACAAACAGCTCAGAGTGAATATTCTCTAGGCCTCTACACTCACTGAAAGGGATGACATCGCACTGATCAACAGTAAATATTCGCTAGGCTGCTACAATCACTGATAGGGATGATATCACACTGAATATTCGCCGGGCTGCTACAATCACTGATAGAGATAACACCACACTGATCAGCAGTGAATATTCGATAGGGCACTACAATTACCATACTCCTCGCAGTGTTTCGTTTGATTATACCTAATCCCATTAAACACTGCTTTAATGAAGACAAATTTCGTTTCCAAATTATAACTGGTCAATGGTCAGATTAACAACCAATAGCTAACTGCGTTACAAAAAGCATTACGCTTAAAGCAGAGCTCCAAATTGGACCAAATATGTTTACATAACGTTACGTCATGACTTACGATTTCATTATGCCCAATTAACCAGTGCATAGCAGAATATTGCAGAAAAACTAATTGCGTGACAAACGAGGCTATCAAATCGAAGACAATGTTAACAATACTGTTTGGAGACGAACATACATTCGCCGTTTTTAATACCTTAAATCACCGCCAAAGTTTTAGGGGAAACCCAGATTAAACGAAGGACTGTCATGTTGCTGTACTTGGGATAGATTTGATTGAACGGGAAGAATAGACACACTCCCGCAAAAGCTTAAGCATTAGAAGCCAACCCAGGAATAGTCAGAGAGGGATTTCTCGGGCCATTGCTTCAGGAATATGTACAATTACTAATAGGGATGACATCACACTGATCAGTAGTAAATATTCACTAGGCCGCTACTACAATCACTGATAGGGATGACATTGGTGCGGGTTAACTGGCTTATAATATTAACTTTTTTCCTTCTGTAAATTAAATTCTAAAATATTTTTTTCTATAGTATGAGAAAAATAAATAAAGGTGTTTGAAGTATAGCTGGATAAATTTTTTTTTCTTATTTAGTGTAAATGGGTGCATAAAATAGTACGCGAAGGCCTAAAATGAGTAAATGGCACCATTCTGTCCGGGCCAGTTTACGTTACCGCGTGCTATGTAAACAATGCACGCGCTATCGACGGAAATGATTGAGGCCATGTGGTGTGACGTCACACGTAGAATGCATGTGAACTTATAAAGGTCAGCCATTTTACACAGAGTAAGAAGAAGGCTTTCGTATTACCTCTGTGAAACAGATTGGATTTGATAGTTCAAATTTTGTTTTATTTATATTCATGAGCAGTAGAGAACAAATGAAAACATTAAAGATACATTATGGGAGATTAAATAAAGAGCCAGCAGTTCTCACTATAATAGTTAAAACCTAGATAATGTAAAGCAATTTGCTATAAATTTCCGTCAAATTGATCAACTATGAACCGAGAATTAAGCGATTGAAATTTCGGCCTAGCCTTGATCATCATTACTAAAGTCGGTACGATAAAAAACATAGTCTCTATTATCCATTTCATGATTAAATCATGAATGAAAGTTGAGCAGCAGATTGGATTCTAATCCAGTAAATATTGCAGACTAGCGATGACATCGAGAATTGGTTATGACCTGGATAAGTTAATTAATGTCTAATTAATAATTTAGACAAAATTTAAGGCCTAAAGAAAGACCTGCAATAGAATGATTTAGCTCTTGCATAATGTATGTTTAATAGTCCACATGGCTGGGAATTATGTGAGCTATTTATAGAAAATGAAATAAAACAAAACAAAGGCAAAATATAAAGAATGTAGATTGGATAAAAGTAAGAACCCGACAACACTTACCAGTTTCACAGCGACTTCCGGTATATCCACTGTTACACTGACAGGAACATGTACTGGTGTCTAAACTTCCTAAATTACCACAAGATGTTGTTGTTAGACCACATGGTGCTGTAAATAAATATTATTATTACAAATTACCACAAGATGTTGTTGTTAGACCACATGGTGCTGTAAATAAATATTATTATTATACAATTATCACAAGATGTTGTTGTTAGACCACATGGTGCTGTAAATAAATATTATTATTACAAATTACCACAAGATGTTGTTGTTAGACCACATGGTGCTGTAAATAAATATTATTATTACAAATTACCACAAGATGTTGTTGTTAGACCACATGGTGCTGTAAATAAATATTATTATTACAAAATTACCACGAGATGTTGATGGTAGACCACATGGTGCTGTAAATAGATATTATTATTACACAATTACCACGAGATGTTGATGTTAGACCACATGGTGCTGTAAATAAATATTATTATTACACAATTACCACAAGATGTTGTTGGTAGACCACATGGTGCTGTAAATAAATATTATTATAACACAATTACCACAAGATGTTGATGTTAGACCACATGGTGCTGTAAATAGATATTATTATTACACAATTACCACAAGATGTTGATGTTAGACCACATGGTGCTGTAAATAAAAGTAGTAACATGGACATATATAACATGGTGCTGTAAATAAATATTATTAATACAAAATTACCACAAGATGTTGATGTTAGACCACATGGTGCTGTAAATAAAAGTAGTAACATAGACATATATAAGTTGCAACATCTGAATCAAAGTGTAAAACTATCTGACAGGCAATGTGATATGTACATAAAGTAGTTTAGGATATACGACATATTGACAAATTCCTTGCATTTGCCCAATCACGTAATTAGTAAATCGTTAATACCGACGTACAAAAGGGAATGATCTTGACGTTGGTCCCAGAAGTAACGCGTTTGGGTGTAAATGAAATGAAATAAAATTGGGTTTAATGTCCTATTGTTCTGCTCCGAACTGGGCTAATGAAGACGGGCATACGCCATACAGTGTGCTATGAGGGGAATAAATTTTGCCCGGACAGCGGCACTACGGTCTTCTCTAATATCGAATTCCAACTGTCAATGGATCTTTTACGCGCACGCCAATGTGTACACGGGACCTCGATTTTTCGTCCCGTCCGAGCGACTAGACAGCTGTCCTTATCAGGCCCTCCATCTTGCGCCTTTGGATGGACTCTATATATGGTAATGAAAACTATATTGAACGCTACTCCTCAAAGGGCAACGTGTCTTTATCCAAAGGAAACGGAATCGATTAGGTCTTTGGTCTTCAAAGGAACTATTAGTGAGCAGAAATTCGTCCGTTACTTCAGTCAGGTATATAGAAGGATAACTCGTGTTTTCCTTTTGCGTTCGTCACTTCCCTTTCTTGAAAGTTTCATAACGCATCTATCGTAGCAATGATCTCTGTGTTAAAATTATATTTGGAACGTATTTAACCAGTTCTATCACATATGTGATAATGACTGGCACCAATCTGGTCTTTTAAGTTGATAATGACATAAACATTAGGATAGAATACGGAAAACACAATAGCTATGTCAACAGCAATCTGATTCAAATACAGATCCTATTTCGTTTCGTTTTTATACTTCAAAATTTCGTTTTACATGTCTTTACTACACCAGGATCTGGACGAGTTGTTATATAACACGCGTTCTGGTTGATGTGATGGATTAGCCAATGAAACGGTCTGTTGCAGCGTGTGATACACGGAACTGTGGGTAAGATCAACGCTGATCGGTTAATCAAATGTCTGACGTCATAGGGTCAAAATCCACTCGTATGCCCCCTTATGCGACCCCCACTACAAATGGTCAGATCTTCGAAAGTATAAAAAAAAACGAAACGAAATATATATCTGTATTTTAATCAAATTGTGTCCACCGATGCCGAAACAGCGTTGACAAGGTTTTTGGAAAAGTGGTATAAATATGGATAGGGTTCGTCATCTCATGTCCTCCATAAAACACAACAAGACTGTAACGTCAGTAGCGATAGCAAGGTGTTCGGGCAAGAGGAGGTAACTCCGGAATGGAAGATCGTGAAACGCGAAATACCAATAGTGAAATTGGCGACTCTACCCTCAACACAAACGAATCGTGAATGTTATCCAAAAGAAATATCCCCGACCCAAATTCTGATATCTTCTTGCAAAGAATTAATGAAATATAACTTACGTATTTGACACTGTGTACCAGAATATCCATCAAAACATACACAAGAACACACATCAGTGAGAAGCTGACCCTTTACACCACAATAACTCGAGGGTAAATTACAAATCTCTAAAATTAATTTTAATAGAATATAATATTTACACGACATGTACGGTTATTAAAATAACCAATGCAACCTTTATTGATATACGCATTTCTATCAATCTGAAACGATTTTAGTATAATTCATTTCCCAGGTACAAAAATTATAAGTAGATTGTTTAAAATTAGAATTATATAAAGAGATATTTTAAAAATCACACAAGGAAGGATGTATATCATCAATAGGGTCATGGTGGCAAAGTGGGTAAGACGCTGGCTCGCTAGCCTGGACGTCGGTGTGTTCCATTCCTGCATTGACCCAGAAAGTTCATCCATATTTTCCAGCGTGGGCCCCCCTTGTAAGTGATGCAGGACGGAAGGCCTGGCAAGGACAGCTGTCTAGTTGTTCAGACGGGACGAAAAATCCGAGCCCCCGTGTACACATTGGCGCGCACATAAAAGATCCCTTGATGACAGTTGGAATGTCCCTCATAGCACTCTGCATGGCATATTCCCATAACAAAACACAACACAGGGTATATACATGTATTGATGTACTTCTCTATTATTTAATAACGACGTTTCGTAACATATACAAGTCACGTTTTCAAGTTAATGATAGTTTTAATATTCATCTTGTCAGCCTATTTATACATATAATTATACATATAATTAATAATCAGAAGAAACCATTAAAATAACAATAAATAATACAAACAATAATAATGACTGACCCTTTAGTAGGATAATAACAGATAATCAGTACTAATAATCAAAGACCAACCTTAATAGGGGTTCACCATATCACATCTTAATCAGGCCAACATTAATAATCACAACTTAATAATTGTTAACTTAGAATTAGGCAGGAAATAACGAAAATATAATATGTTCCAAATAATAGAGACAACACCTTCGAACCAGAGTGTCGCGCTTCGAGCCCTAGCTTGTTGTGGTTTCGATCCCTGGTGTGAGTGTATGTGGCTTGGAGATAGGGACACCTTCTCCACCTCGTAAGTTTACTCCGGATACTCCAGTTTCCTCCCACAGGAAAGACCCATGCACATGCGCTAATATAATGAAAATAAGACAATTTGTCTGCGATATCACACTTGGTGGATGCGGACGTTAAACAGTAATAGAAGAAGAAGGCAGTATAATCAGGAACCATTAGTAGATTACATTAAGGTTTATTACTATCAACAACACTATATCTAGATAGTATGTAATATATAGACAATATATAATAGAGAATATATAATTACAAGTAATGGAATTGACGATATAGAATAGAGAATATATAATTACAAGTAATGGAATTGACAATATATAATTGACAATATATAATAGACAATATATAACAGACAATATATAATAGACAATATATTATATATAGACAATATATAATAGACAATATATAATATAATAGACAATATATAATAGACAATATATAATATATAGGCAATATATAATATATAAACAATATATAATTACAAGTAATGGAATTGACAATAGGAGAAAGATTATCATATATATTATTTTGGTGATAATACTCACAATTGTTGTTACTATTTTTGGTCACCTGTCCATACCACAACATAGTTCTTGTATTCATACCAGCTATACTAGTTTTATATTACAAGTATATCGCTAAAACATGCCCTTTAAGGATAATAATTACAAGTAAAGTCTTAAGGGTATTATTACAATTTATTTCTAAATGTCAAACATTATGGTTTATTTATTAAACATGATTATAAAGCTGTATTGTTAAACCAACACTTGTATTTATTGGAGACAAGTTATATATAATAATTCCAGTGTATTTATTGGAGGCAAGTTATATATAATAATTCCAGTGATCTATAGATGATGATTATCTTAAGGTCTATTATATAAATTTTACTACTACAAATATTACTACTACTACTACTACTACCACTACCACTACCACTACTACTACTACTACTACCCACTATATTACTACTACTACTACTACTACACTATATAAATTTTACTACTACAAATATTACTACTACTACTACTACTACACTATATAAATGTCACTCGCGTTCTCCCATGACTAAGTCCTCTAGGTATTGTATTGAACGTTGAATGTCCTATACATATGATCATGTATATAAAAGTTATTGTTCTGTCTACAATTAGCTAGACCAACATGTAGCTGCTATGGGTAAGTCCTCTATGTATTGTATTGAGTGTTTAACGTCATGTATACCATCAGTCAGACCAACATGTAGCTGCTATGCAAGTATGTCAGAACTTTAAGTATTTCAGAGCTTTAAGTATGTCAACGATGGCTGAAACCCCTGACTATACTACAAGCCGGATCTACACTGACTTAAGTTGGCTAGATGTTGTCGCCTGTTCAATAGAGCCAGATTCAGTCTCACTAAATAGTCTTCGCTTCCATTTAGAAAGCACAGATTTATTTAATATAAAGGACCACAGAATGAAGACCCCTTGAGAAGCATTTAAAATTACAGACAAATATTCTAAAGCCCAACTGGTGACAAAATTTGATAAAATAGCTAGCAACCAAAACAGACCGGTCAGAACAGAAAGCTTTATATAAATAATAATATTGTTTCGTTCTCCGGATTGTTTTCCCTGTTGTTTAACGCGAGAGATGGAGATAATTGTCCACAAAAAGAAAACAATATTTAGGATAATGACGAGACATAGGGGTAAAACAAAACAATAGCCAACAAGTTGTTTAGAGGATAGATAACACACATTACCCCCATAACCTATATCCATTCCCCCTGACAACGTGACATTTGTAATAATTATACAAACTATCAGTATCATTGGTAACCCATTGGCATAAGCAATGTATTTCAGTGTCTGAATACCGTGAGACGGAGCAGAATTTCTGACCAGTTTCTGTAAAACAAATACCTTGAACATGTGAAAGGTACACACATTCATCCAAAGTGCCATACCGAGCCAAAGGTAATGGATGCTTATTCCAATACTTCTACACAATATTTTATCTTGTGTCTGATCCAGGCCCGTAATTACAGTTAACTGAGCAAGAAAAAGATTAAGCATTAACCCTATGTTGTTGATGCCTGGCTGTGTTCTCATTTCTGGGAACATACCATATGTTATTAAAGCAATACATATAGATATCAAAGAAAGAGTGATCAAAACAATAGTTAAATACCAGAGAATCCAATCAAACTTTGTGTGGGTGTCATAGTACTCTATGGTTTCGTTACTGTGCGTAAAGTTTTTTTTATTGAGAAATGTCTGAAAACATACCCTAAGGTCATCGTGAAACACAGAAAACTCGTCATCAGATAAGGTGAGATTGAGATGTTCAACGGATGCCAATGCATTATCGGCATCAAACGCTTTGTTATAAAATTCAATAAATGAACAGGAAATCTGGTGGCTTATTGGTTCATAGTTGTATTTAGCGGCTATTACTTCTCCGACCTCTGAAACAGGCTTTTCGGAACAACACAGCTTCGTGGTTATGTTGGAGACAAAATGTCGCATAATAGGCTGCGAGTGAGATACGTATGTATAATTTATTTTACTATCAAGTGATAAAGCTGAAGCTTCGAAGTACCCAGCACCACTCCTGGAGATAACAGTTTCAAAGTCCTCTAATGTGATGTTGCTATTTACGATAAACCAAACATTCATATAGATATATGAAGATCCCCCGATCAACACTGGTTTAGAAGTAGTGACTGTATAATCAGTAGAGTATATCAGTAACGATATTGATGTCATCATGTTTCCTATCATTTGTTTAAAGAATGGAACCCGAGCTCTGGTTGGTATCTTTAAATTAATCATCATTTGATAGGTATTACCCAATGCTGTCATATTATCATACTCACACTCTTCACCTCGTAGTACCTTATTAGAGTAACACTGAATGGGTCGACATTTGTTCTAAAAAATACAAAAAATAGAACAATAAATACACATGCCGCAGTTAATTAGTAATTTGAAGTAAATCGTACTAACACCAGCAATATAATCGTAAGTATTGTACGTACAAGTTCTTAAAAGTGATCACAAATCAAATCAAGTTGTTTTTTTTATCTTAAAGGGACCGTGAATTTAACCTGACCCTCAAAGACGATTGAATTAAATTTAAACGTATTGGGGCACAATTGGTACCCAAAGGATTAACCATCGCTTGCTGTGCTATCTATATAAACCTCAACCCCAGACTCAAGGTCGCATGTGACATAATCATACCATACATTATTAGACGAAACAGCGTCGGGCTTAACCTTGACCCTGCGCATAAAATTTATAGGCACTTAATGATCTTTTTTTATAAATTTATTTCAAGTCGCCATCTTTATGAATTTGTAATAATTTTGAATTATGACATATAGGTTACGATATGTTAATCATTCTTATCATTTGATTGCATGTGACATTATCGGTGTTTAACTCTTATATCATACTATCAATGTGACATTATTGTGTTTATCTCTCATATCAAACTATCAATGTGACATTGTTGTGTTTAACTCTCATATCATACTATCAACGTGACATTGTCGTGTTCATCTCTCATATCAAACTATCAATGTGATATTGTCATGTTTATCTCTCATATCATACTATCAACGTGACATTGTCGTGTTTATCTCTCATATCAAACTATCAATGTGATATTTTCATGTTTAACTCTCATATCATACTATCAATGTGACATGATATCCTCGCAGACAGCAACTCTCTTCCTATTGTATTTACATTTGCCTCGAATTTTCCAATTTTAACATGAAGTTTCTTTGTTAAGAAATGCACATTGATTGTTGATGTATGTTTTGCCAGTTTGTGGACAAGAAACAGGTAGGACCGTAGGGTCACAGTTTTCTATAAACCCATCATGGCGTTTATAGTTAGCAACCATATAGAAACAATCAACGTTTGATAGGTCTTTAAATTGTCGTGTTTAATTCTCATATCACACTATCAACGTTACGTTGTCATGTTTATCTCTCATATCAAACTATCAATGTGAC